TTTACTAATTCCCACTTCTATTGTTAAAACTTAATTATTTCGCAGCTTGCTCCTGAACAGGGCATGTCAAAGTAATCTAAAGTTTATGTCCAAATTTCAAGCAACGAGAAAATTAAAGATTTATTAAGAAAAGGAAGATCGAAACAATTCAAAGGGCCGTATTTATTATTCAGAATTAAATTATAGCTACAATTTGATGGCGCGGTGAATCGCTAAATCTCACTCGGGTCGGATTCTAAAAGTTGCTCTAATCTTTTCGCCTTCCGGCCTCCTCAATTTTAGTTAAATAAACTCTCGAAACAATATTACTCGTAGTAACCTGTTTGGTTATTCGATCATTGAACATAAGTAGCATTCAACATAGTGAATAATAGTTATTTATATTAATAGTTATCAATTACTTACCAAAATACAGCTACCTGCTACTACCTGCCACAGTTGCCAAAGCCGCACATCTGACGCGTTCGTTGGTTAAGTACACAGTTTTGTTTGCACAGTTCACTGATTTCCTACTATAGTTGATTGTTAAATTCTCACTACTACGAGATTTGGAAACAGACAAACACTTTAAAAAAAGGTAAGAACGTATTTACCTTCCCGACGTTGCAACTCAGTTGCACGAGACGAGTCATGGTCGCGGGCTGACTAAAGAGATGCGGCGTCGTCCGCTCGGACGCGATTAATTTTCTTCACCCACCCGCTTTTGCAAAATATTTTTCGTCCGTGGTACAGTCAGTCCGACAACTACACACAGTGACCGAGTTTCTTTGAGACGGCCTATTTTTATTTACACTTAGTCATCATCGGATTCCACACTGACGATCGGTTGATTTTTTAAATTTCAATCACTTTACGTATCAACCTAGAATTTAGCAAAATTATGCAATATTAAAGTTATAAAATAATAGTAATTTCTGACAATTATTTATGACAGTTCTTTTTATATATTTTTTTTCTTTTTCTCCGTTTCGTTCAGGATCTGACATTTGCGAAACGATCAAAAAAAAAATTTTTTTTTTTTCGATTTTGTTATTTTTTGGGGCTACCTCCACCACATCGAATTACAAATGATCGAAAATCTAAATATCGAACACGTTTCATCGAACGATCAAAATATCGAACGATTAAAATTATTGTTACTTAACTATTTAATTACATAATAAGGTATAAAACCTGTGTAATTAAAATAAAATAAAATAAATAAATAAAAATATCGAAAGTCAATATAGAAGTTTTAATTAAATGTCATATGATTAATGTAAATATAATTATTCATATAGGTATATACCCAATATACTGAACTGTCCTATCTGTGACGTTTGACAACGGGGCGCCACCGTCAATGTCGAATCGATGATTCCGATTTTTGCCATGTTGGAAACTATAAAGTTGAACGATGGTGGCGCCCCTCTGTCAATGAGTTTGGTGGGACAGTTCAGAGGGTCTAGACAAAGTGCAAATTATAATCGCAAACCAGTCGAAAAGTGGTCGAAATGCCCCATTTTTGTATGGAGTTTTGACGGATTCGATTTTCGATTAGATCAAAAAGTGCGTTTTGTCTAGGGGGGCTGTTTGGGTCATTTAAACATATTTTCTTATTTCCCACTTAAGGGTAGGTACCATAGTCAACAAGGAACCCTTACCTCCATATTCATAATATACTATGCAACATAAGATCAACTTTCGATATTTTAATCATTCGATATTTTGATCGTTCGATGAAACGTGTTCGATATTTTGATTTTCGATCATTTGTTATTCGATATGGTGGAGGTAACCCAATTTTTTGGGTTTGTATCGATTTGCCGATTGATCGATTTATAAACGACTAGCTTTTTCCCGCGGCTTCACCCGCGTGAAATTTAGTTTGTCACAGATCGTCATAAATTATATACCTTTACGTTATTCTGGTTAGTACTTCTTAGTTTCATCAAAATCCGTTCAGTAGTTTTTGCGTGAAAGAGAAACAAACATGTTCACATCCAGAGATCCATACAAACTTTCGCATTTATAATATCAGTAGGAAGTAGGATAATCGGTTATCACTTGCCTCTTTTTATTAATTGTTAACATTGAAACATAACCAGAAATTGAAAGAAAACTGCTAAAGATAACACCTCACCTTCCCGCCAATAATATTATTTATTGTTTTATAGCCCTATGTAGTGAGGAGATTTTACTAAAAATGATAACCCCATTTATAAAACGTTCATCTAGAGCCAAATTCCTTGACTACTGAAAATGTCATTTAAGTGCAATCAAAATATGTCGAGCAATCGAAGCGTTGACAATTTTGATTTTGATTTATGTTTATAAGTAGGTAGGGTAGGGTAAAAGTGATACAGTAGATACCTACTGTATCACTTTTGTAAAAAAAAATCAAGTTATCCTAATATATTGTGTACTAGCTTTCCGCCCGCGGCTTCGCCCGCGTGGAATTTTGTCTGTCACAGAAAAACTTTATCGCGCGCGTCCCTGTTTCAAAAACCGGGATAAAAACTATCCTATGTTCTTTCCCGGGACTCAAACTATCTCTATGCCAAATTTCATCAAAATCGGTTGCGAGGTTTAAGCGGGAAAGCGTAACAGACAGACAGACAGACAGACAGACAGACAGACACACAGACAGACACACAGACAGACAGACAGACAGACAGACAGAGTTACTTTCGCATTTATAATATTAGTTGGGATTGAGGATTTTCTATCTTGTTGAATTTATTAATTTAAGTACTTACCTCCTAGAAATTTTATCCCAACTAATATTATAAATGCGAAAGTAACTCTGTCTGTCTGTCTGTCTGTCTGTCTGTCTTTATTTATTATTTAATTTATTTATTAACGTGTAGGTGTAATGAAAGTAAACGCAAACTTGTCTTCATTGTAGTTTTACGAGGGTCGTAATTTAAATCCCAAGTCATTATTTTCACCACAAGCCCGTCGAAGTTTGTGAGTGACAAAATGATTCTCATGTTATATTATTTAATTCAACTTAGCCTGCCACTTTGGTAAATGTTGATAGCTTTAAAGCTACTTACCTACCCGAGCAGGTTCTCGGTAAAACAAAACAGTAGACCAGATTCCTGGGAAACACTGCAATGGGCCCGGGCGCACTGCGGTCCGTGGTGTCGCGTGTGGAGCGATGTGGTGGCGGCATCCAGCATCTACTCAGGTACTAAGAGTTTTTCAGAGACGTTGTGCCATTTGTTACATGATAAACTAAATTTAAAAAATGCCACTGCCCTGGAGGCAGAGTAGGTAATAGAAGGATTACAACTGTCTACAGCATTTTTGCGCACGGGTTATGTATAGCTTATTTTTATTGCTTTAATACCTAGAAATAAGAATAACAACAAAAAATTGTTCTGAATTTGCTTTTATGTGTAAAAAATAGAAAAATTCATATCAATGAATGTATGAAAAATGAACATAGAGATGATTTAATTTGTTGCATAATATTTTTTTCTTTCTTTCTTTCATTCTCTCTAATTATTAAAACATCCATTTAAGATTTATTCTCACAAGAAAATTTAAAATAGAGTCCAAATATTTATTAAAAATGAAAAGTTCTAATTTCCTGTCATGTTCCATAGAAGATTTTTCTCATAAAAATCTAACCCTATCCTGCTTTCAGTTTACTGGCCTTGGTAACGTCGTCTCTCAAATCCCACTATATTTTGATGAAAGCGTGCCCTTGCGAACTTGCGAATAAGCCCCCATAAATATCTATAAATATATCCCAATGAGAATGTGACGTGTATCTTTAGAGACATTCTACTATGAAGATGGAAAATTCAAATCGCTATAACTCTTTAAAAAGCAAATATTTTCGATTTGTAATCGCACATTTTTATATAAATTTGCTTATATAATCAGAATAATATAATAAGTAAAATCCATGCGCAAAAAAAATATTTTTTTTGTTGACCGGTGTTATCAATTTAATCTAAATATGACTTTCTAACCCCCTTAGGCCCAGTTTTTTGATTCGTAGTTAAAATAAACAATAGTCAAAATTGACAGATGTCAAATGACAAGTGGTTAAATATCGGAAAAAATGTTTTTCGAACAATGGTTAGCTTGACTTTTAGTACATTTTTTAACTATTTGTTTACATTTTGTTAATATTTAACCATTAGTAGCAAAATTTAACAATTCGTTATTTTAACTATGAATCAAAAAACTGGGCCTTAGTCAAATAAAGCAGCCAGACTAATATTTTAATAAAACAGTATCATTACAATATGAGCGTAGTTAGAATAGGCCACTTCCAGTCCCGCGCGGTTAACTCTGTGTTTTTGTGTGCCGATGTTTTGTCGAACGGCGTGCTGGCTGGCGAATGGCGATACTTTTTACGGAGTACCCCACCCTTCCTGATCCGTAGTACGTAGTACACCTAGTTCACCTGAGTAGACTACAGGCACTTGTTAAGTTGAAAATTTATTATATGACCCTTACCATATTATACACTGCTGTACCACATGAGAATTAATATTTTTTCAAGTTATCGGCTTAGTTATATTCTGTTGTTGTTATTTTAGTTTAATTATCATGTGTCTATCCACAACTGTGAATAATTGTAATTCTTGTGAGAAATAAAGATCTTAAACAATAAATGTTATTATAATATTAATGCACACTAATATTTGTATTGTGTGGGGATCGAACCCGTTTATAGTTTGTATCTATTTACCTATTAGTATGACAGAAATTTGACGGTTATTTTCTTATTACCAATCTAGTCATCACGAACAATTGTTTTAGTGCACTCATTGCAAGTGTAAATAAAATCATATTATCTTCTAGGTCATTTAGTCTCCACTGCGAGAGGAAGACCCTCTCCAATTTACCATAGACAAATTGAGGATTTGGCCAATAGGTACTCCTCCCCACGCTGGCCAAACGGGTTGGGGAGGCAAATAAAATCACACTATGAAAACGCAGTAGTTTAATAAATAGGACTAGTTCAGTCAGACGGGGACAACACGTGCTTACGAGCTAGGACGAGTATGTACATGCGCTCACAGCGCCTGCTGCCGCGGCTGCGCGCCCGCCGCGAAGTATCTGCAACACGCCGCGCGTTACTGCCGGCCGTCTGCGCTGGCCGCTTGTGTGCTAACCACTGGGCTTGCAGGAGACATTGGCAAACCTCGCAAAAGTGTCACGTATAATATTAATGAAGTTTCACCCTATGTAGCGCTAAGACAAATAATGATATTGTCAGAATAATGCTTTTCGTGGTTAGTACACAAACGATATTTAGGCTACTCCTAAAGCGGGTACATCCGCGTCAGCGGGCATGCGGAGCGGAGGATGCGCAGATATTCATAAATGCTCAGCTTTATAAAGTTTCAATGCATCGAGAATGAATCAGGATATTGAACTGGCGCTGTCCAATCTGTTAAACCAACAATGCTCCAAATCGCTGCCATTGTCTTTCGGGATCAGGGACGCGAGCATGCAAGCTGGGACCCATTATCCACCATTCAGGTTTGTTATTACGTTAGGTTTGTTATAAAACTGGCAGAGTCGCCTTGAAGAATATTTTAGAATCAACGTGGATACAACGTGAATTATTTATTTTTTTATCCACAACGGGGAAGCTCTTGGTTTGTAGATTTGAAATTGTAGATTGTGTCTAAGACTCCCCTGGTCCAAAAAAACTAACTTTAAAATAAACTACTTTATGTACGAGTGTATAGTTTCGATCAAAATTATTTTATGAGAAACTATTCTTGCAACCCGTAAAACAGTAATAAAAGCTAGTTTTAAAAAACCTAGAAGTAACAGTGGTGGATAAAAGGTCGGAGGTCTTCCAGGCCGGCAGCCGCCCGCTACGAAGCTCGAAGCCATGCTGGTGGGGAGCGTCGGGATCTAGTTCCGGGACTCTAGTATATTACCGAAACTAGTGTTCCTTCTGTATTTATCCTCTTAGAAACGGTGGCTTTATCAAAAACAGAAAAATCTTGTTTACATTTCCATCAAGTTTTGAAATTCTATCTTATTAAAATACAACACCTGAAACATAATTATTTGAAACAAATTGTAGACCGATTAAGAAAATGAGTTCATGACTCATTTCCTTAGGAAAATCTGAAAGTTCACTTACAACTTACAAAATTATAAATTTAGTTGCACCTAATAGGTATTAAATTACTGAAAATATATTTTTTGTATTCATCATACTACAAACAAAACATGTATTCGTGAAAAAACTAAAATAAAACCAACTTAACACAGATTTTATGATGGCATTAAAACAATTCTAAAATAGGGTAGAAGAACCGGTTTTGGCTATCTTTGCACCTTTTTTGGCCACTCTTTATTTTCATAATATTAAATTTCTTTTACTGCTATTCCACACGTTAGGTACATTAGGATCTACAAAAATAATATTGGACAGACCCTATCGGGCATACTAAAAGTTACAGGGAAGAAGGACACACATTTTAATTAGTAATGTAAATCATTAAGAAATAATAATAATTTGAATTATCTTAATATTAGTTTTCAGTTTTATCGAGAATTTTTGATACTCACAATCAACCTTAAGCCTAAGCGCAGAGCACCGACTTTTAGTTGGCCGATAGTTGTATCGATTTCCAATTTGTATGAAGAATCGGCCGATACCAAATCGATGTAGTGTGCGCACATCCATACGTGTTCACATACTGATCAACAGCCCGACTCAACTATCGGCCGACGAAAAATCGGTGGTCTGCGCCTAGGTTATGTGGCCAAAAATAGAACAGCGGCCACAAACAGGGTCTCTACCCTAATACTCTCACTAGCTGGTGACATCTTTATTTATTTATTTGATCACCAACAAGGTTACATTGATTCGTACATATTCGTATATCTTTCGGGTGATTTTGGTGGTGTGGTGTACTGTACCTGACAGTGGGCCCGGACGCGTGTCGCGCGTGGTCCCGGCGCCGGCGCCCGCGCGCCGCCCGCGCGCCCCGCTCGCCCCGCGCGCCCCGCGCCTCGCCCCGCGCCTCCCCCCGCGCGCCCCCGCGGCTGCCCGCGCCCGCGCTGTACGACGTGTCGTCCGCGCTCGACTCCATCGCCGGGAGCGTGTCTGTAGCAACCACTCTTTGATAATGGTCTTGAACAAACCAACATTCTTAAAACAATATTAAATTAAGAGGCCTAAGATGCGCGCCGTGATAACTTTTATCGACGTCAAAATGTATGGGCAAAATCGATAAAATGGCGTGATAACCGCTTATCGCGGCGCGCATCTTAGGCCTACTGGTTACATTTTTAGCTATCTATATTGTTGGATTCAAGAATGAAAAACTAAGTAAATTGAACATTTAAAAAAAATCATAAAACTGTGAGCGATTGGAATGTAAAATAAAAAGTTCAATTAAAAATTAGAAATAATTTAGGGGAGTTTAAAATTGACCAAAATTAGATAATTAATATTATTGCACCAAAAAAAAATTTTTATTCCGGTTACTGCTTCACTATGAGTATCAAATTGAAATGTTGAGGTGCGCAAGTACGGCGGTGTTACCCGAGAGGTGCGCGGCGGGCAGGCGGTAGAGCTCGGCGGCGCACGCGGCGCACGGCGAGCCGCTCGACTCTGAGTCGCTGTCGCGCGCGCGCCCGTACTCTGCGTGATACGGAAATAATATTACTTATTTTATTATTATTACTGCAAAATATAAATGTCAATTTTTTTAGGTTTTACAGATTTCATCATTCTACCAGAAGAATTTAACTTATATTACATAGATAATATTTTAGTTATTACTATACATGTACGTACTTTCGGCAACAGTGTTAACTGCCCATTGCCAGTCATATCATCTCGTTCTATCGCAAATAAACACCATTTGATTAGAGCGAAAGCACAAACGGAAATGGATAGTTAACAGTGTGGCCGTGTGTACATACTTAGTTATTCTTGACCATTGTGCTCATTTTTTTATTAGTTTAAAGATACCTCTGCTAGTAATCATTTATTTAGCATTGTCTAGACAAAATACCCGAGTCATAAAGTAAAATAAAACACAAAGACATCTTTATGAATAAAATTATGTAGTTATTGTCCATTGTGTTTTACGCCGGGCCGTTTGTTTGCGAGCATATTTATTTTATTACGACGGCCACCCGTCTTCGAGCCACAGTTTGACGAGAACAGCACCTTAGGAATTACTATTATTTTCTTCCTCTTTAACCAAACCCTTCTTCCTTCTTCGTATTTTCAATTGGTTTTCACGCAAAAACTAGGCTAAGTACCTAATCATACTCGTAATACTTTGTCTTCTTTTCATTAATGATATCATAAATTTGATTTTTATTTTTACGGAAATTGCATCAGGCTATTAGGTAGTTAATAAAACCCGTAAAATAGTATGTAGGCGTGGAAACATTTCAGTCATTTGAACAGCGAGTTGTGCTGGCTCTTCTCTCCCAGCTAGCAGCGCTCCTCGCGCCTCCGCGCCACAATTAACGGAGCTCGTAAACCGAAGAGCTCAAAACAACCCGCCCTTTATCATACCGTCATGCCGGAGCCGGCTTCAATTACACGCTCAAAAATGATGCTTGTTAAAACGGTAACCTTCTGACAAACTTTTTTAAGTTTTCAAATTAGGTTTTCTTGTTTTTCAAAAGTTTATTAAATAACTGACTCGAATAAGGTTAATTTCAGGACTGTTTAATTAAATCATCGATCAGTATTTATAAAGTGCTGGTAAAAAACCATTTACCCTCTTACTAATAAAAATAACATGCTCGTTGAACAGTTGAATTAGGTATGGAAATGTCACTTTAAAACAGTGTTCAACAAGTGTGTAGCTTTTTATTAGTAAGGGGGTTAATAACCAATAATCTCTTATTAGGTCAGCCGCGGGCGCGTTTGAATTCTTATGCACAGCCAGTCGTCAGAACGTGTATGCATACCTACATGGATATTAACCAACGGCGAGATTTACAGAGTGAACTAAGCCTGGGCTATTAAAAGTTTTACACTAAGAAGAATATTTTAACTAAGCAATGGCAACAATTTGGTACAAGATAAAAGCAAGGTCACCTTGAAAGAGGTCAACGTCCCTCTTTCTAGAAGAAACTAAAAAATTTCTAGCAGTCCTTTTTTGAGAAAACAAAGTTTAAATAAAACAGAATTTAAAAGGCTTGACGATGGTCTGAAAAAAGTTTTATAAATAGTTTATATCGCGGCTCAATCAAATTAAAAAAGCGAAATTGTTCATGAATATGAAATTAAGTCTTGCAACAAGGTATAGGTTTGGTCAGGTGCTCTAAAAATTATCTGAGTAGCATCGGCCATTATTACTCAGCACTACATAATAATATACATAAAATACTTCTAAGCAACCGGTGTCTTCGAAATCATCTTATTCTTATTGCTTAGAGTCGATGCTTGGTTGATGGAGATCAGTGTGGATAGTTCGTTTCACGGTGTCGTGCAAGTCCCGTAGTGGGCCGTAAACTGTGCAAAACAAATGTTTATTGAGCCGGACTGTTTGATATGGGTCAGTTAAGATAAAGCGATGGACAGGATTAAATTACCTACGAGTGCCTCTACAAAATGGCCAGAACATGAAAATTTAAATTTTAATGTAGTATTCATTCTGAAAATATTGACTTGACTGGGGCTCGATTAGGTTATAAAATCAAACATTTTTAGCACAAGCTAAAGTGCCAAAATACTAGTCAAAATTGAATAAAATTATATTTTTTATTTGATTAAAAAAAAAGTATTTTTAAGCAAATGAGCAAGCAAGGTGGACCGACGAATCATAAAGGTGGCAGGGAAGCGCTGGATGCAGGCCGCTACACGGAAAACATTGGGGGAGGCCTATGTTCACCAGTAGACGTCGTATGGTTTGAAATGATGATGATGATGGTGATTATAAAATAACTTTGTGTCTTACATATTATGCGTATTTTCACAAGCTTAGCATTAATTTAAATAATTCAGTAGCGTGTTTTGTAATGCCGTCTCAGCAGGTGAAAATTTCAATATGCAGGGATGTTTTAATACAGCGTGTAGCTACGAGGTATTGTTTGGAGACGCCCGTAGCACTCTCGTAGTCCCGCGGGCTACGGCGCGTGCTACATTTTTCTTGCTTTGCTACGAACATTTGGGGAATTTATGCCTCGCTACGAAGTGTATTAAATGAGATTGTATGTACATACCGGGTTTGTGTTAGTAGGAGTTATTTAATGTTGCAATGTTTGTTACACGGCTTCAGATTGTTTTTGATTTTATATGAACATTGAAAAAAAATTAAAAGTCGAACTTTTACACTTTAACTTCTCAATTATACATTACTTTCATCAAGTAGAGTTGTATGTTAAAACAATTAATCTGTTTGTAATGTCTAGATCAACTAAGTGTTACATTGTATACTTAAAATACAAACTGCAATTGAATCACTAGACAGCGAAGCAGTACTCGAGCAGACATTCAAGCTATAAGCGTCCAGCGGCTTACAGGCGGCTTAGCGTAAGGCGGTGGAGGACGAGTCTCCGATTTATAGAGCAGTCATCATTTGTTACGGCGTCCGAGCGGGCCGAAGTCGCGACGTAATTGAACGGAGGACCTGCCCCCCTCCCCCCGGAGCGGCCTCTCACAATGGAGACTGCACACAGCGGAAATTGCAAACTCGCTCAATGGAACCAGAGATAATGCCTCTAGAATGAACTATTATTATTTTATGGCGTTTTTAATATCCTGAACTCTATTCGCTCGCAGTTATGACGGGCGTTAATGCACTTTGAGGAGGTTATAACATAGTTATAATTTTATGTCGAGTAAATACTGAAATTACTGTCTAAGTACTCGTTATTTTAGTAGTGTCTCCCGCTGAAAATAAGCAGCTAGAGGTTATAATCCTCAAGGAAATTTAGAAAACATTAATAGACGATGTTTAAATGGGTAAAAGAAAATATTTATTTAATCTTTCGGAAATTAAATTCGAAATAAAATCTGCAACTTGTACTGTTAATACATTATTCAGTTTTTTCTAAACGTAGAGTTGTTAAAAATATTGATGACACTTAATGCCCAGTCCAGAATTAGATTTGTACTCGTACAATAAAGTTCTCATCTAATAGCATCCGCTTCCGACGGCGCCTCGACGCGGCCTCAATCAAACTCGCGGATTATGAATTCAAGGCTGAAGCGGAAATTGCAATCTCAGCGCCTGGAGCGGGCGTCGGCGCTCTTTGTTACGCGATATGGACCGACGATGTTTGCAGATAGAATTACTCGACTTCACATTAATACGATTACCTCCAGTTGTTTATTAACACAGTATTTGTTCAGGCGCGAATATCTGTTTGCTAAAGACCTTCTGAGTCAATCTTTGTGCCTTTGATCTATAATGAGTCTCTTTATTTATTTTTGGGACCTTAGCAACCTCCGGTTAAAGTAATGTCCGATTTATTTGTTTTATAACTTAAATAAAATAAAATAAATATGATAGCATTGTAATAAAATCTGCTGCCTTGAAAAATGGAAATTTTAAAAGTTTTCAGGCCATGTTATGTAGATTGCCATTACCCGAATTTAAACAAGTTAATGTATTTGAATTGGTTTGGCATCTACCTTTCTGGTAAGTTTGAGACTAAAAATTCAATAACAGAAATAGATATTTGATGGGAAAACTCAATGGAAAACTGTCCAGTCCTTTGCACTGAATTAATACACTCGGCATCAAATAAATCGCACCTCCCGCGACAAGCACTTATCAAACGTATGCATCCCCACTTCCCACCAACATTGGTACCATTTGAAAGCCTAGTTCTAAACTTCATTTTATTAAAGGAAAGGTTTTTACCCCAAAAATGTGTCTTTACAAGGATCCAGAGTCACTTCTTAAAAAAATATGTAGGTAGTTACGCTATAGCCATTTTTTATGACTATAAAACTGTTAAGTTGGGATTAATCGCTATCCATCTGTTAAAGAGGACACGTGAGATCTTTATTTGGTTTTATAACCATAAAAATTGGTCTAATTGATCCCAGAGGTGAGCCCAAAGTGAGGTCTATTTTCAAGTCACATTTATGGTAGGGTAAACCAGAGAGTGATTGCCCACTGGTAGTGATTGCCCGCTTTAAGAATAATATTGTCAGGTGCTGACTTTGAATCACTCTAGTTAGATTTGAATTTACTAAGTAGATGGCTCCGAGATCAATGTACAGTAGATTTAAAATTTACAATAGGAAACACTAAAAAAAAACAGTTATGGCGGATTTTGTCAAGACGGTTGAAAATGTTACTCAAACAGGTAAAGACTTTAACAATTTTACTAAGGAATTACTTGCTTAGAGGTTAAATTTTTTTTGCAAGTTATTTAATAATCAACTAATGGTGTATAGTCATGATGAAATTATAAGTGTTTTCTCCATTATCAATGAAAATAACTGATAAAATTTGATTTCTAACGGTCATTTTAACGGTGGGTAATCACTGCACGTAAATCTGTATATTTTTAGTTATTGCCCACCATCATTTCAGTTATTGCCATATGTTAATGTATAGTTATTGCCCAGGGCAATTATTATTAGAGTGTTGCCACCATGCAGTAGCAGTGTTTAAGTTGCTCATTGCTAGACTTGTTTTGCAATTTACAGGCATAAATATTGAAATGGCTTTTAATGTTTCATTTTCTGTATGCCAAAGACTCCAAAAGTTCAATATAGCATGGAAAATTTGCAAAAAGCGATCGAAGATGTATCCAACAATTTATCTACAAGATAAATTGCTGAAAAATATGGTTTGACTTGAAAAAATTGATAAAAATTCAATCGCAAATACAATAAATGAAAATCCTACGTTAAATCTACTAGTGAAAATGTTAAATTGTAAGGAAATAGATACAACTTTAGGGAAGAATAACCAACTGCTAATTGAACATTCTGAGCAACCACTTGAACTGATATCAAAGAAGATAAAAAAATAAATACATATAAAATTTACATACAAAATTCAAATTTTTGCGTTTTGAAGTAAATTATTCTGTCTCTACCGATTCTGACTCATCAACATCAGCTCAAGAAATATTTGATAATAATAATATGTTAATAAGGCCAAACGCAATTTATTTTGAAATTTTGAAGACTGTACTACTAGAATTTTAGTTTAATGTTTTGTTTTGTTTATTTAAAGCCTATTTTGTCATTTTAAAATTGATTATTTTGTTTTAAGATACTGGGCAATTACTGTGCTTCGATGTGGGCAATTAGTGTAAGTATTGGGCAATGACTGTACTTTTTGGAGGATTTTAAATTTATTTCAATATTTTCTAAGTTACGTAAGTTTTAACTAAAAACTGTTAATATTCTGTTTAATAGTTTATTGAGTTATAAGAAAAAAGTCATAAATGGTCGATAATTAAAATACTTTCTTTAATTTTTCATCTCAATGTGTTTGAAATCTTTAAGTGGGCAATAGCTATACGGTTTACCCTATATGTTAATCATTTATTTAGAAATGAAATGTATTTTTCTTTAAGGATATTTATTGGGCTTTCAAATAACACCAATATTGTTGGGGTACCATAATTGTGTCAGAAGAAAATCTTTAAAGTTCGCGTCGCGGAAGGTGCGGTTTATTTGATGTTGAGTGTATTTTGAAATATCAAAATGTAGAAATGTTTGAATACTTATTCAATTTAAAAGGAGCTATAGCAGTGAGGGTGTTTTGTGTAGAGACACAATCATTTCGCTTCCGCCTTGTGATTGCAGAATTCCATTTGTAGCGCTTTCCTGGACGTTTCGGAACGCTTGCGAGACTTCACATGAGAGACTTTAGTGAGAGGCAGGGGTTGACCCCTTGACTTGCTTGTTGTGTTAAGTCAAAACAGTATCGACTTAAATTTTAATTTGACAATAACATTAATTCGTAGTAAATAATAGTTTGAATCTAACAATTGTAGAAACTAGTAGGTACTACTATGTTATTGAAGGTTAATTTTTTTTCCTATCTACAACGAGGAAGCTCTTTTATCATCATTATAAAATGACATTATCATCCTTTTATCTGAAACTGGATTAACTTTGTAGTAACAGTTTTACCAGCAGCAGAGCTGATGGCCGCTAAGGCAGAAAAGTTCTCGAGTGGCGACCACTGGCTGAAAGACGTAGTGTCTTTTGGAAATCGTTGTGGGATTTCCATCGGGGAGGCCTTTGTCCAGCAGTTGGACGTCGTTCGGCTGAAACGAACGAAGCTGGCTTTAAGAGATACTAGGTAACACGTAACTCACCAGAAGCGTGCGCGAGCAGGTTGGGTCGCGGCGGCGGCGCGGCCAGGTCCAGCGACTCGGCGCGGCCGAAGGTGCGCAGGTGCAGCGCGCAGCCGCCCTCCGCGCCCCCCGCGCCCCCGCCACCCCCCGCGCCCGCGCCGCCTGCCATGCTGAACGTCGCGTACGGGCTGATCTCGTGCAGCTCGCCTTTGCAAGGGACGGTGCAGTTAAACAATGCACAGAGATATACAGGGTGGAATTTTGTAATGACACCTGGAGCGAAAGTACTCTTATACTGAAGATAGAAAATTTTACTCAAAAAAAACATTCCTTTATTTTTGAAAACAAAGAGAACTGCATTCAAATATTTTTGAAATTTTTTCGAAAATTCACTACCATACCATACAATTTTCTGTAAATAATTAAAATAATTTGAGATTTCGTGGTTTTCCTTTCATTTAATTTATCAAGTTTGTTGGAGAGATTTCATCCATAAACTTGACCCTAACGATCGACACAATAAAAATACAGGGTGTAATTTTTAACTTATTTTAGTTGGTTCGATTACCGGGTGTGGCATGGAAATTTTTGGAAATCTTTGAATGTAGTTCTATTTCTTTCCAAAAAAAATAATGTTTTCTTTGAGTAAAATTTTCTATCTACAGTATTAAGAGTACTTTCCCTCCAGGTGGCATTACAAAATTCCATCCTGTATAATACGAAGACACATAAAATATTAGCTAGCAAAGCATTCGACAGTCTAAAAATTTTGGATGACAGATAGCAGGCAAGCAAGTTTGAAATTCAAAACCTCTGCATGTCCACATAATGCTACTCACTATCGGGCGGCGTGAGTGTCTTTCCGTTCCGTTTCCCGGGTTCCGTAGTGTAGAGCTGAGGATGCGGCGCGCGCGCCTCGTGAAGCGAACATTCGCGCCGAACGCATAATTCGCGGCGCCGCGCCAGCATAAGACCTACTGCCAACCAACCGCATGGTTATGAAGATTTTATGATTATAACAGTAAAGTGCAAATTCTGACAATTTATTCAGCATTGTCATCAACCAGCGCCCAGCCCACACATTTACTAACCCTGTCCTTAATGATTTACCTGCCAGTGATGCTAATAACGCTGCTAGCCCTCCACCGAGCAGTAAGGGAGCAAGACTCAATCGCCACTCGGGGACCACTTCTGCAGCGCCATCGGCCAGTTGACTTCTGGCTTCCACTGGCAGCTCCGTTGGCTCTCCCATCCGTTCTACATAATGAAAATGTAGTATTTGAACAATCTAGGATTCGACAGTAAGTGCACGCTTCATTCTACGAAAAGGCAGCTCACCTCCATTAACAGTGTGCGTGGCAGCCCGGTAAAGCGCCGGAGTGTCGCCGGCGGGTGAACGCGCTACCACGCGTATTTCATACCACGTGCCCGGCTTCAAATTGCTAGCCTGATAAAGAAATATTACTTCCACTACCACAAAAAGTATTATTCAGCGAATCTACAAGCATAACTTTCTATGAAAGTATTAATGCTTAAATATTATTCACTTGCCCCCTTACTAATAAAAAGTTACACAGTTGTTGATCACTGTTTTAAAATGACATTTCCATACTAAACGTCACTTTAAAACACTGATCAACGAGCGTGTAAGTTTTATTAGTAAGGGGGTTGGTCAATAGCTTCTGATGTATGAAGTCAAATCAAACGGCTATCCCACGCAGGATCGACTGTGTAGTTTATTCCCGTTGTCCCCACCAGGCTTGTATCACCACTTTATTTCCGTTGTCTCCACCGGCCGGAGGAGTGGCGACAACTTGATAAATTTTAATTAGATTCTCGTTATTTCCACTGGCGAGGACAAACTAGATGGGAATAACTGTAATAATCTAGCTGTGTGAGTTGAAATAATGCAACTTACCAGTGCGGATTCCCCGTCAGCGACGAGGTCCTGCCAGGGCCCGGGCGCGGGCGCGAAGGGCGCGGTGGCCCGCACGGCCACGGCCCAGGCCGCCACGGGGCAGCGCCCGCCCCACGCCAGCAGGTTCAGCCGCAGCGCCGTGCTGTTGGCCCACACGAACTCCTTGCCCGGCGGCGCCTTCGCCTCTACGCACAATGCCAACTCTCTTGGTGGGCGACATCAGGCTCGTAAGGAGACAATGATGTCATTGTTTACCCTACTACGTAATAAGCACTTGTGGAATCATTTAATTTTGCAATAAGAAGATTTTAATTTGTAATTTTTGTTTGTTCTGAAAATTCTATAGAATTTGACGGCCCGACACTTCTCCGCTCTGTTCCGTTCCGCTCCGCCTTGGTGGAAACCGGATCTGACTCTCGTTTCTACGATAGATATCGCTGTATCAAAATCCATATCATCATCATCATCTCAGCCACAGGACGTCCACTGCTGAACATAGGCCTCCCCCAATGCTTTCTATCATGTTGCTCGGTTGGTAGCGGCCTGCGTCGAGCGCCTTCCTGCTACCTTTATGTCTTTACCAAAAACCATAATAGGTATCTGGGATGATAATATACAAAAACTCATGAAGTTAGCTTTATTATTTAGTATGTAATCTGTAAGTCTAGATATTAGCTATACCACGAAATTTTGTATACCCTCCTGGGGCCTGGCGTCATATATTTATTACATAAAACAAAAAAATATAAATCAACGCTATCTGTTGAAATTTACCAGAACTTTTACGTTAGTTAGTTAGATGGTGCATCTGACCATCATTCTTAGCTGTGATTGGCTAGTGAAGTGACATTTATATTTTTTTATCTTTAATTGAACTAGCGACGGCGCCGCGACCGGGAACAAGTGGTTAGTAATAATGAAATTTTTACTAAAATATAAACGATTTCTATAAGCCTTTGTTATTATTCGTTTTGGGATTTGAACTGTTTTATTATCTGAGTATCACTGATTGTGGAAATACGTATGAAAACTACGAAAACCATGGTGAAATCTGAATGTCATACAGGTATTACATGAGGTCCCAATTACTAGTGTAAACTGACAGAGCCCAGTGTAATACCTGTATGACATTATACATTTTCTATTAAATAGCATACAATCTGATATAATTTTCTTATTTGTTTAGGTAGATATATGCGAATATAACATATTAAAACACTCAAAAATCGATTTTACTGGTAAAGTCGGCCCAGAAGTATTATCAACACCTCAAGTCACTTTGATTTTTTTTATGAAATTAAAATAATTTCATAAGGCACTTAATCAAATTGTTTTTTAATTTTTTTTATTGCTATTGACCTTATCTACATCATTTAATGTTAATACACATTGGTGTGATGCATTTTTTTATCACGAGGATTTTTTAATTTGAGTCATCCAAATGAAATGCAATAAAATTTTGAAATACTATTTAAAAAAAATAGAGATGCAATGTTATTGCCCAAAAATGACATAAAACTTGATAAAGAATCTATCTAGCTACATTTTAACGAAAAGGTACTTAAAAAATATCAATAGTTGCATCCACTGCATAGAAAAAAGTAAGTACAGGCAGAAAAAAAATTAAAAATATAGCAAAAAAATTTTTGGCATCTCAATATATTTCAAAAATCGATTCAAATTCGTTGTAGATAGTCAAGAAACTTAACTAGGAATTACTTTTGTGCAATTTATTACGGGACATCCTGTACATGAAATAAAAAAGTCGTTGACATTGGGAACCGATGTCGTAAATATATGACATTGAGAAAATTGCCGTTTTCCAGATACAATTTTTTATTTTATTTTTTATGATAATTATATCAATTATTAATACTATTTGGATAGTTTTCATATGAATTCACGATAAAAATAATTCCCGGGCCCCAGGAGGATACACATTATAAGATACACTATACAAGAATGCATGGTAAATTCAGTGAACTGCTCCTGAATCGAATGTACCTACTACTGCTATTTCTATTTATTTATATTAACCGGCAGACAGTGGTGACTGAGTTTGTTGCGGCGCTTCTTCTCAGCACTTGTCAAATGTTGGTCTCGAAGCGCTGGTAGGGTAAAAAGATTATGAGACATGTAGAGGCTCCTTAAGAGCAAAATGACGATTTGTAAGAACTATTTATTAGTCTAAAGAAATTTTGACTTTGACTTTGACTTATTCACTCGTAAAACAAGTAGCACACTCACTGTCGCCCCGGGTGCGCGCGAGCAGCGGGCGCGAGTGCGGCGACGCGCCCACGGCGTTGTGCGCGCGGAGCGTGACGCGGTACAGCGCGCCGCACGCCAGCCCGCGCAGCCACAGCGCCGTCTCGCCGCCGCCCACGCGCGCCGCGCGCGCGCCCTGCGTGCTGTCGCCGCCGCGCGTCCACCACACCGTGTAGCCTGGGGACATGGTCTAGTTGTTTTTGTCCACGCAAAGGGTGAAAACTTATACTTTTTTAAGGTTTTTCTATTTCCTTCTCTTTTTTAAAAATGCATAGGCACTACCAAGGCATTTCACTTTTAAGGGATAGCAACCTTGAGTCGGTATCTCCTCGAAGGGATGCGCAATGCTAATAGCAAGTGCGTCCGCAGAAGACTAGCATCTTGACATCCCCTTACGAGCATATCAAGATAAAATTAAATGGTGGTGTAATGGCTAGTAGGTAATTATTTTTTACTAGCTTTCCGCCCGCGGCTTCGCCCGCGTGGAATTTTGTCTGTCACAGAAAAACAATATCGCGCGCGTATTTGCTCATCGTTTAAACCTACCCTGGACTACGACAAACATTTTAAAACCAAAATCAGCTCAATCGGCCCAGCCGTTCTCGAGTTTTAATCAGACTAACGAACATCAATTCATTTTTATTTATATAGATTATTTTCACTGTGTCAATATTAGATTTTTTATTCTTTTTAAAGTAAGTACCTAACAACGCCGTCCCGAGATCAGGCGGCGGGTCCCAGGCCAGGTGCAGCGCGTGCGTGTCGGCGCGCACGAGGCGCGGCGCGGGCGCGGCGGGCGGCGCGCGCACCACCAGCGCGTACTGCGCCGCGTCGCCGCCGCCGCCGCCGCCGCCGCCACGCACCGAGCACGTGAAGTTTGCGTTTGCTTCCGCTTCTAAACGTTTCGAACAGCCATCGTCAGTGAAAATAAAGAAAGAAAGAAAAAAAACATTTATTATGGTTCCAACTTTAAAAAAAACAACCACAAAGTTAGAACCAAAAATGGCCACAAAACAAGACACTCTAATGAGGGCTATCGTTTTAGCGCTCACATCGCATTCGCACTCATCAAGATGGCGCCACTGTAGAGTAAGGTCCTGTCAATCGCCAGGGGTGCCAACTGTTAAGTATAAAAACGATAGTCCTCATTCTATACAATGTCTTATCAATGATGAAGTGATCCAGAAGCTGAAAATATCGTGTATCGTCGATAATAGGATGAGAGATGACTTTAAGGACAAAGCAACCCGAAAACGGATCGTAGCCGTATCAGCTCGAGGCGCTCAGTATTCTATTTATGAAACTCCGTACTGTAACGCACACTTATTCGCACCGTATCCTCACCTCGCCTCGCAGCACAGCTCGCAGCGAATCCCTTTCCGGGTTGATAAGTGTGCTATGAACTTTACGGAGAAAGAGCTATAGTGGCAGTAGACTATGCTTGTAATGATGTCATAATTTATTTATTTTATTGGGCTATCAAGTATCAACATGAGATACAGTATTAAACACAATTATAAAAAAATACAATTAAACCAAAGGTCTCTAGCTAACTGCTTCCACACAAACGATAACCACAGCATGCATAATATTATAATGTAAGCATAATACTATGAAGGTAGTGTCTCACTATGTATGATGAGATCGCCGGCCTCGGTGACGGAGAGCGCGGGCGGCGCGGGCGCGGGCGCCCAGCGGCGGCGCAGCGGCGGCGGGCCCACGGCGGCGCAGCGCAGGCGCACGCGTGCGCCCTGCGGCGCGTACACCACGCGCCCGAACGATGAGATTCGCACTGACACTGGTGCAATGGGTGAAGGTTTTAATGAATTGCTTTCTTTATTATTATCTACTAGCTTTCCGCCCGTGGCTTCGCCCGCATGGAATTTTGTCTGTCACAGAAAAACAATATCGCGCGCGTATTTGCTCACCGTTTAGACCTACCCTGGACTACCACAAACATTTTAAAACCAAAATCAGCTCAATCGGCCCAGCCGTTCTCGAGTTTTAATCAGACTAACGAACATCAATTCATTTTTATTTATATAGAAGATAGATAGATAGATAGATAGATGAGCAAACGGTTTATAAGAAGGTTCAGTTCAGCTCAGCTCAGGAGCATGCTATGCTCGGAGTTTCTGCAGGAGAACCAAAGTGACTGACAAAGCCCGCAGAATTGCTAAAATCAAGTAGCAGTGGACGGGTCACATAGCTTGCAGAGCTGATGGTTGATGGGGCAGAAAAGTTCTCGAGTGGCGACCACGGGCCGGAAGACGTAGTGTCGGCAATCTACCACTAGGTCTGTCGACGATCTGTTGAAAGTTGCGGGACTGGATGCGGGCGGCACAGGACCGGTCGTTCTGGACATCCTTTTGAGAGGCCTTTGTCCAGCACCAGCCAGTATGTTATCCCGAAGTGGTGGTAGGGCAAGCTATATTTGGGACGTGTATAAGTGCCCTAGAAAGGGCCTATGTACTGTTAATTGTGAAAAATCCAAAACGTTAAAATAGCGGTATCGTTATAGCCAATATGCTGCGGTCATAGTGACATTGACGTAATGTCAATGTCACACGTAAATCAAACTTGAGAATAGAGGGACGCGCGGAGACGACCCCGCGCGGTTTTGTGCTAAGTTCAGAGGTGGAATTGTGTAAAGCGATCGTAATCATTTGACAGTTCATAACGTACGATAAAATCAGTTAAACAAAGCGTTTGACAGAATAATCGTACGTTATGAACTGTCAAATGATAACGATTGCTTTACACAATTCCACTTCTGAATTGTATTTAAAAACTATGGCAATATAGTGTGAAAGTTGAGTATTCAGTGTTTTATTTATGAGAATAGATCAACCGGCCTTTAATAGTACTGAATAAACTATTTGAATTCGAATTGTCTGAAACGAACGAACGCTTTTGTCTTTGTCAGTTGTCGAAGTACTCACAGTGCTGCGTGGGCGCGGCGGTGACGGGGCGCGTGGGCGGGCCGGCGCCGGCGGCGGTGCTGGCGCGCACCCAGAACTCGTACACGGTGCGCTCGCGCAGCCCCACCACCTCGCGCCACACCTCCGCCGCCTCGTCGCCCTCGCCCGCCTCCACGCGCTGCGACCACTCGCCGCCTACCCTGTGGCGGTATGAGCTATTTTAAATAGCGTTTCATTGTATTTTTTTAGTTCTCATTGAAAATATAAGATTCATTTTGTGTATTGTACGCTAGATATACAGGGTTGTCTTTTTAAGTATGAATCAAACAAAAAGGACAAATTCTACTGCTCAAATGCAATAATTTTCGTCAAGAGAAGAAAAATAAAAATAAACTTTTCTATACACATTATCATCACTAATCAATTTAATTACTTTTAGTAATTTTATTGGTAAGAGGAGGCCATTTTTCTGAGAATAACGATATTGTTTCTGTAGGGAAGTTATTGCATTTGAGGAGTAGAATCAATCCTTTTTATTTGTTCCATACTTAAAAAGACACCCTATATTTTAAGTGCATTTTTATCACTTTTTATAGGTATCGCCGTCTGAAAAAGCAGGTGTAATTAATAAGTGTGCAGCCTCACTTGCCGAGTTCCCTGGTGTAGAGCGTGTAGTGCGTGAGGCGGCCGGCGCGCAGCGCGGGCGGCAGCCACGACACGCGCACCGCGTCCGCGCTCGCTGCCAGCGCGCGGATCGCCTCCGCGGCGCCCGGCACTGTGCCAAGTAGGGACAGTCAAACCATCTGATCGGGCGTTGACGCCAAGTGCAAGAGGTGGAAAAGCAAAATATGGCTAATGCACAGTCATACAAGTGAACCGACGACCTCATAAAGGTAGCGGAAAGGCGCTGGATGCAGGCCGCTACCAACCGGTCATTGTGGAAATCATTGGGTGAGGCCTATGTTTAGTAGTGGACGTCCTATGGCTAAAATTATGATGATGATGATTATGAATGAAGTGTAATAGTAGTCGCTGGGGTAGAAAAATTGGTCGAGTGGCGACCACGGGCCCAAAGATGTAGTATGGGCATTGGGCAGGCCCCCCATTAGGTGGGCCGACGATGTGGTGAAGGTCGCGGGAGGTGCCTGGATGCGGGTGGCGTAGGACCGGCCGTTATGGAAATCCTTGGAGAAGATCTTTGTCCAGCAATGTACGTCATTTGGCTGAAACGAACGAACGAACGGATAGTTATGGACAAGGCCTAGCTAGATTGTTGCTCTTGAAGAATTTCTTACCTATATGTTTAAACTACTGAGATCATTATGGCTCCTTCCAAAGGTTGCTGTGCCCTAACTGGGTCCATATTGATCTGCTTGAATGGACAGTTTGACACCATTCTCCAATAATTCGAAATCACAACTTTTCTAAAAAGACTGGTCTTAAAAACTTAATTAATTTTAAATTACCTATAAATTACGATTTATGGTCGCATTGTAAATGAAAAAAGTAGTTTATTTGAGTTGACAAAATAGTGACGTCACTTGCTTGTAGTGCCATACAAAATCTATGGGAGATTTTCGTTAAGACAGTTTTAAAAAGTACGTCAATTGATTGGTGGTGTCAACATGTCTATTGTAAGACCTAAATGCTAATGTGGTGAAGCAATGAGGGATTGAGTATTCCTTACCGTCCTCCCTCGTGGAGCAGTAGACGGGCGGCGAGGGCGGGCCGAGGCCGCGGTCGGCGCGCGCGCGCACGCTGACGCTGTAGTTGGTGGCGGCGCGCAGTCCCTGCAGCGTGGCCTCACCCGCCCCACCGCCCGCCCCCGCCCGGGCCACCATGCCGCCCCCGGCGCCGCTCCATGCTAAGCAGTTTTCAACTTTTTTATGTAGAACAAGGAAGGTATTTGACTGCATTCGCACCTAATGTTAAGCGAGATGCTGTCTAGAATAGTACTTAAATGCCCTGTAAGTGATTAATGTGATTATTCACTCTCGCCTTGAAAAGGCTCAGATTATAGTGTTCGGGAAAGACATCAGCAGGAAATGAATTCCAGTCCCTAGCTAATCGCATTCTAGAACATTTATCGAATCGCTTAGTGCGACAATGTAATGATGGTGTGCTAACTTGCGTCTGGTTCCCCGGTGATGGAAGTGGGCTATTGGAATTAGGTCGTGTTCCTCCGCACATTCTCCGAAGTATAGCCTGTAGTGTGTCATTTTTTTTTTGTGGATCATTAAAAAAAGCTTGAGCTTGCACTGAAGCCCATTTACATAGCAGACATTTTCAAAAAAGTTATATTTGTATAAAAGTAAGGTCACTTAAGTATTCCGGGTGGTCTGTCTGTACTCACAGGGCGACAGATGCAGCGGCGCGTAGTGCAGCTCGTAGCCGCGGAGCGAGTGCGCGTGCTGCGCGCCCGGCGGCGCCGCCCAGCGCACGCGCAGCGACCGCGCCGACACCGCCTCGCAGAACACCGACGCTGGCGGCGCTTCGGGCACTGGTTTTGTATAGTAAATCTCTTAGTTTATAGTTCTATGCGTTACTTTGCAGAAAGCCATGGCTTAGTATGAGCGAGCATGTTAGCAAAGATAGTACCAACGGCACCACACAAACCCTTAGGCCGTATAAAGGTCGCACTACAAGTCTTCTCTCAAATCGCGATTAACCAAAACAAAGATATTTAGTAACTTTTGATGCATTTCGACACTCAACAATCAACATGCATCCTCAAATGGCGTAAGAGGCCTCCTTCACGGTGAATGGGCGATGAAGTTGGTTACTAGCCTATTATAAGTTGCGGGAATTAAAAGCAAAATTACATTATTTAATTTAAGCCTTAATCTAGGCTTTATCCTAAACCTACCTCCATCAGCAGTAGTAGCATACACCAAAGGCGACGGAGGCCCAGCCCCCGCTCTGTTGTACGCGCGAAGTGACACTGCGTAACGGGCGAAGGACCGCAGTCCCCCTAATGTCATCTCCGCGCTGCTCCAGCCGGGAGACGTGGCAGACCCGCTGCGCTCGCCGTCCTCGCCCGCCTCCTCCTCGAAGCGGCTCAGCTCGCGCCACGACGCCACATAGCCCAGCAACTCGCCGTTCCAACTGTCTTGAGGTGGCGCCTATGAAGAGCACGTTACACCCGTATTCACAAACGATACTTGCTTAAGTGAAGCAGAAATCGAACGCGCAGCGTTGAATAGAGCTCTGTGATTGGTTCGTGTGTGACCCTGTGCGTCCACGAGCACTGTGAGACCACATAGCAATGTTTGTGAATACGGGCGTTAGTCGATTATGAAAAAAGAAAGTTCCAACAATTGCCTCTTGAACTTTTAATTCAAAATAACTTTTCTGAAAAAAGTTCCGGGGTAAGTCTGAGTAAATAGGAAGCATAACTTACCGACCAAGATAGATGAAGTTCTCCAATATTTGCTGGTCTGACTCTTACATTTTGTGGCGATGCCGATGGCGCTTAAAAAATAAATTATAATGAAGGAATTTCTGTTTTTTCCCGTAACTAACTTAAAAGCTATCCAAAATATTTCAGTAACTTGAAAAAATAGAATTGCCTAATTATACAAACTATAAATTACCTTCTTCTAAAGTAGTAAAAAGTAGAGGATCCGAATGAGGTGACTGTCCCACATGATTAGCAGCTATCAGTCGAAGAGAATATGCTGCAGCTGGCCTTAGGTTTTCCAATCGAGCGCTTAATGTCTTGTAGCCGTCTGGTTCAACCCTGTTATCACCAATCGATAACTCAGAATTATTTTAGTCAACGATATCAAATTATCCTATCGTTTTAAAATTTTACCTTTCATCTCCTAGCGATTCTAAACTTAAATTGGCAGTGGTATGCTTAGCCTCGACTCCTGGTAATGAGTGCAGCGCTGTACACAGTGCGCTGTAGTACACTTCAAGGCCTGGTAAGGATCGCCAAATAAGACGAACCCACCGAGTACCAACACCTCCTAAACGCACTGATTTAGGCGATTCTGGTGGTTCTGGGCAAGAAAGAAAATATTATTAACAATTATGTTCTGAACTTCGTGTCATAGGAGTTTAAGTATCGTGCACTCTTACTTACCCTCAACGTGAAGATACATAAGAATTTCACTTCTTCCATATTGATTCTGTGCGTGGCATCTATAGTCTCCAGAATCAGCTCTTTCTGCAGCTCTGAACTGTAATACCGAACGCAGACCATCTGCTGTTCTAACTTCTGATACCGTCCAGCTGAAATTAAGTGAGGTATTACGCTGATAAATGTTTAAATAAATTGTGGCTGTAACTCTAGCAGCAAACAATATTATAGCAACGAATTTCTTGCCTGTAAGAGTTCAAATCGATACTTATTCCACGATGAGTCCAACGAACAGTTAAGGGAGCATCTCCTAGAGCGTGACAAGTGAGAGATACGCTTTGCCCTCTAACACAAGACACATTGCCAGCAGCTCCGTCGAAGTGCGCTGGTTCTGTATCAAACACAGAAAAAATATTACAACTTACACCACTTGGTACAGCACTTTACCAAAACAAGTCATACCTACCATGAACAGTCAGATTGATATGTTTAACAAGCGGGGGCCCAACTCCATTGTCTGCCAGACATCGGTACAGGCCTTGGTGATCTCGTGCAGCTACATTCGCGGATAGAGTACCGTTGCGCGCACGCACAGCAGTGCTGCTAGTATCTTCGTCTCTCCAGTCCATACTCTCTACAATTTGCCATTGTTCTGATCCATCAGGAGTGAGGGAAATACTATCACCTAAAATTAAAAAAGAGGCAACTCAAAAATTTTATCGCAGCTGTTTGAAATAAATAAGACAAAAACTTACCTATTCTTCTGTACCATGTGACTGTAGGTATTGGGTACCCTTTGGCAGCGCATTCTAAATGTAATGGAGCACCCAGTAACACTGCAGTATCTAACGGTTCTGTCATCCACACTGGCGCCACTGTTGAAATAGGGTTTTATACTAAATTCTGCAGATTTTGCAGTTAGTTTATTTAGTTATGTATTTATATTACCTTTTACACTAAGAGTAGCTGTATAGTTGACGGTAGCCGCGTGATTCGAAACACGACACGTGTAATCTCCGCTATGCCGCGCCGTAAGATCGGAGAACATCAGTAAAGAAAACTCATTCAAACTCTTTTCCTCGATCTGTAAGGATTCGACAGTGAGCAATCGCATTAAACGCTTCATTTTCAGGGTTTCCTTAAACTTATTGAATTACCTGCAAGTTAGAAGGCAGGGGAGCGCCATCTTTCAGCCACGAAAAATACATAGGCTTATCTCCGGATGATACTCCGCATAAAACTTGTACCGCACTCCCCTCGGTTAGTTCAGAAGAAAAGATAAACGGTGATATTTTCGGAGGATCTAAAACATTATTTTGATACATAGAAAAAATACAACGATCCCAAAGAAATGCAAAAAATCATGGATTTGTCTTACTCCGGACTTGTATCTCGATGTCCCGCTTGGCGGCGGCGCCGCCGGGCGCGGCCACGGAGCAGGAGTAGTGGCCGGCGTCGGGCGGCGCGGCGGGCCGCAGGCGCAACTCCGCGCCGCGCGCCGACACGCGGCCCGCGCCGCCCACCGCGCGCCCCGCGCCCCGCGCCCACCACGTGATCGAACTGCAGTCGATTAAGCTCCGTGACTAATATTTCTTTATAGGTAAGCAGAAGGTATTGGCGTGAGAGTTAAATGGATTTTGACGCTTACAATATTGTCTCAACATATACCTAAATTCTTTAGAAATTTCCTTAAATGTAAACAAACACTTCTGCACACAATTACACCATAATCACTTACGTGTTCATAATATCATACACATTATTTCACAAGCCCATGAAACCAACTTTATTCTCACGATTATACAAGTTTGGAATCAATCTTTAAACAAATTATTTTAGCAAAATATGTGGACGATGAAAATTTGTGAGACTTGTCAAATTGACTTGAAGTTTAAAATTATGTGTTATCTCCATGTTGTCTCTGATACATCAGTGTTGTAATCTGTAAGTCATAGACAATAATCGGTAAATTTAATCGATTTTATTTCAATTATTCAATCATTTTTATTACTGAATGCATTTAAATAGATTTAAATAGGGTCTTAATCAACAATGTATTTTTTCTTCATTGAATGTACTACTAATTGTTTAATGCATTGCTTATTAAAGCATTATAAATTCTTTCTATAGGTACGTAAGTACTACAATAATTTCAATTCGCGATTAACGAGAGGTTTTGTCGCCTCACTAGGGCACAGATTAAAAATGTTTTAATGTCAGTTGGCCATATTTGTTTACATATAAATTATAGGGAAATTTCTAAAGAATCCGACTTTACAACTCTGACTTAACTTTTCACAACAGTTTATATTTGAAGATGTAGGCCTCAGTATTCTGCGGATCCATTCGTAGCACTATGATGTTCTACCTCTATTTTTCGTTAGCATTACTTAATGAAAAAGCTACTCGTTAAATATTGGTTGTAACGCGTGACAGATAAAAATCGAATGCTTCAGCCAAGACAAATCAAGTTACACCAGCACTGCACATCTCTCAAGCTTTACTCTTACAGGTATGCTGTTTACGGTCAAGATAAAGCGTGCCACTAGTGAGTACGTGCGTTAGAGGAATCATCCTAGCGAATGCACCTCTATGGACCTGATCGGATATCCGGCGTAGGGGCAGAACACGGTCGCGTTGGCGCCCGCCACCACGCGCACCGGGCCCAGCGCGCGGATCGACGGCGGCCCTGTCACACGAAGCAAATATTCTAATGTCCGTAAAAAACCTTGTGCCCTACGGTTAATATGACCTTGTTTTGGAATTAGAAATGGACATCATTTGGGGCATCCATGAACCGTTCTGGTCAGTATGGTCAATCATAAATAAAAAAGTCAAAAACCAACCAATGAAGGTCAAGTTTCTCCCAGAGGTGGAAGAGATTGAAGTTAAGAACTTTTAGTCGGCTGATAATTGGGCCCGATTCTAAATTGTATGAAGAATCGGCCGATGTTGCACACTTTTATACATAATTCCATACTGATTAACAGCGACCCATCTATCGGCCGACAAAAAGTGGTCTGAGCCTAGGCCAAAGACGTGTCTACACGTGGTGAGACTGACCGTAGATGTTGAGCCGTGCGGAGTGCTCGGCGTGGCCCAGCGCGTTGGCGGCGCGGCACGAGTAGCGGCCGCCGTCCGCCGCCGCCGCCGCGCTGATGTTCAGCACCGACACCACGTCGCCCGTCACCGACGTCTCCTCGCTTATGAAGTACCTTTAACATTCCACGACATTAACGCAAGAGCCATTCAGATCAGGATATATCAGAACCCGATCTTACTAAAAAATACCACCACTTTGCAAGAACATAATTGGGTGGTACAGAGAAGAAGTCAGTCACCGTTATCTATTGCCTGTTTAATTAGGTTAATAATTGGTTAAGTTCATCTCAAACATCAATCCGCTAATCATTATGGGCGAACAGTATCTTAGTTAATCAGCTCAACGTAGGTCCCACCCATGTCATAATCATAACATTCGATAGGCCGGCGCTGGAATCGACATAAAATATGATAATAAAGGGTTAAACACCCTCTACTCGCGCCGCATCCGGGTTAATTGCAGCTATGTGCAACGACTTCAGCTATTAAACTGGCTATTGCATTAAATATTATGAAACATTAGAGAAACTTGTCGTATATTTACTTACAACCCGGTCGAGTAACTGCGCACCTGACTGCCGTGATGTCACATCGACGCTCTGTGCCTCTAGCATGAAAAACTTTCGTCTTCGAATCGTTTGCGTATTCGACAAAATTAGATACTCAACCTTCGAATTATACGATAACGTGACAATTTTAATTCTCAAAATAAGTTTCGTGCACGTTCACAAGGGCGCTGTTGTAGTTTTTATAGATAGATGTAGATTCGAATACGCAAACGATTCGAACTCGAAAGTTTTTCGTGCTAGCCGTAGTGGTACGGCCATGGCCAAGGCGAAAGCGGGGAGGTGCACGGGTGAGTCCGAGGGAGAGTCGCATTTCAGCGAGGTACGTAATTAACTTGACCGGTTTGTATATGGTACCTGTGCTGCGTGCGGTACTGGTCCAGCGGCTGGGCGTCGAGCAGCCAGGTGAAGCGCGGCGGCGGCGCGCCCGACGCGGCGCAACGCAGCGACACCGCGCCGCCCGCGCGCAACGCCTGCTCGATGAACGTGTAGTGTAGCTCCGGCGCCGAGTCTACGGAACACACGTCACAGCTACACCGACGACTCAACACTGGCGTTTCGGTGGATTAAGCGCGACTTATCAAACCAACGATGCAAGTTACTTTCGTTGTGTCGCTGTAGAGCTGTAATGTCACATGGCTCCATTGTCTCGATGTCTGAAAATTAATTAAATGTGACATTCTACGATAAATTAGCAATGACTTTTACACTTCGTCTCTTTCATTTGGTCTTACCTCTACGTAAAAATCAAGAAGCATCACAAAAGTAAGGTTTGGCAGTAAATTGAACGTTGTTGTATTTTAAATTGGTCCAAGTTACCTTCATCAAATAAATAAATTCAAATTTTTATACGAGCTCGGTTTATTACCGATTCATTGTGATCGAGAATAGTCTACAATAAGTCCATTCAATAAAAATATATCATCTGAAAAATATCTTAATATAGCATAAGATGTTAGTCGGCACATGTTTCTAGTAAGCAATAACTAAATATTTTTTCTAAAGTGTTAGGGTAAAGTTCTACAAAGAAACGTTTTCAGCGAATACGTGGGATGTTTGCTCGGGAGTACAGTAGAAAGGACAAAACGATAGCTACGATAATAATGGACCAACATAAGTAATATTCCAACGTTCGTGGAATGACTCTTTTGTTGAAACGCGTCGATAACGTTCCGTTCAGTTTCCCAGAGTGATAAGCTCTCCGTTGATTCAATGCGTTGTCTGTCGGAACACAACAGTCGATGTCCTGAGGTAATTGAACAAGCCTCTCTCAAGCCTGTATCGAGAGGAGCTACGAATATTATCTGCCCATCCTTAGATAGACGACCGTCCATTTTAACCTAAATACGTATTGATCTGTATCTTATAATCTAGTAATATCAGCAAGTAAGTATGTGTGGCGTAAATCTGCTATCGAAACGTATAAATAAAATGTATGTTGCGAAAAAACAGGCGACGTTCATGAAATAATAATTTCCTTGCCTCCGATGCCGTCATGTTGTTTTTTACCGAAACAAAAGTAAGCTCGCCCTGTTTATTTAGGACTCCTATCACATCCAGTGAATAAACAAGCATTTGAGGCAGTCCTTGACGTTTGAAAGGGCGGTGTAAACTAGCGATCATTTGTCTCGGTGACCCTCATAACGACGTTACCTCTAAAACAAACGCGGTAAAAGCCCGCGGATATACGACTCGCTGACAGTTAATAATGCCAGGTGGCGGAGTTACAAACCGGAGGATTTCCGTGCGTGAGCGGGAATCTGTGTGATGCGCCATTGTTTTAGATGAGGCGGCTTTGCAAAATACACATTACGCATTATGAAGCGCAGGGGGTGCCATATATTACCTATGTTGCGGAGTGAACTCAGTTCACCGTTTGCTAGAGTTGGTATTCTGTTTGGCGATGTGAAAAGGAATTTGTACAATAGGTAGATATTTTTAAAATATTTAAAATTTGTATGGACAATTGTTACTTTTTCACACACAAACTACGGAATTTGGTGAAATTTTACAGTATTATTGTTTATACATCACAACGCTATAATTTATAGTGGTCACAGACAAACTGAATTTCACGTGGGCGAAGTTGCGGGCAAAAGCAAGTACAAAATACATCCTTTGAAAATACTAGATATACGATTATGTAGTAGGTATCTGTTTTTCTTATACCAGCAGAGTAAATAAGAGTGCTGAGTTAAGTGGTAAAATAAAACATACTTTCATTAGGTAATGTTTTTTTGTGCGCATTTGTGGTATTTATTAACTGTAAAGTATATAATGTTTTAATATAATGTTTTAATATAATGTTTTAATATAATGTTTTAATGTAATTATGTAAAGTTATAAAATTTAAAAAAACAATGTGGGAAATCGTGTATTTTCCAAGAAAAAATATAGTAAGTAGGTACGTAATTTTGGCTGGAAAATCTCACCTGTTTTGTCTAACCCTTTCTTCGCATATTAATATTATACTCGCTCGTGCTAGGCATATAAGTAGGTACCTATTGATCTATGTATCTACAATTTGACTGCCTTAAAGCTTTATTGTGTCTCGCTTATTAGCAAACGATATGATTTCCCAATTATATCGGCAAATACGAGTGAATTGGACTCGCACAATACGCGTAATTGATTTCAATGCCGATAAAGCTGAGAATTCATAGGGGTTGCCGAACATGCGGTATGATTTACGGGCATTGTGTTAAATTCATTATTAATATCATTCTAACAGAAAATCGGAGCAAATGTCGACAAAATTGTATGTTTCTTGGCCGTTGAATACCTACATTATTGCGCTTAGATGGAATATAAATGAAGTAAGTAGCTAGCAGGAACTTAATAAGTTAAGAACCTTCTGCTCAAATTTTGGTAAAACATTAACGTAATAGACACAAACAAGTCGATATCACGTGAAATGTTATTGCTTATTAGAAACTATCAAATTGATGTGTAAACGAAAACTACACTGAGACTTGTTCTTAAAAAGAATAAGATTCTATGAAAACCCCGCCGCGCTATTGCTGTTAAATTCCGGGCTCTCAAACTCTCTCGGTTTCCGTTAGTCAAGTTGCCTGTATGCTCTGAAACGCTCCGAAATACATCCGAAGAAATCTACGTAGTCTTTTCATTTTCTCACGACATTCTCAAACACAAACTTGAAACGTAAAACTGTCAGAGCTCATTTTCATTGTTCTTCGAAGTAGAAGGTAAGGTTATCCTCTGGATTTTGGCTGGGGTATCGGTTACCTTCGTGGCGTATCTCTGCGGAGCGGCGATCAATCGCCGGCCGCAGCCACCCGTCACTGTCGCGGTCGCGGGATCAGCCTAACGACCCCATTACTAAGAGTATGTCCCGGACCAGTTAGGTTTCAGACCGCGTCTTGACCCGTAGGCATCGATTTGACTATTGTCACATAAAAGATTTATGAAGATCTTTATCGGATGAATAGGTAAGTATTTGTGTGCATGGACTTAACAAGCTAGCTGATACTTTACATCTTATTCTGATACAAATAAAATGATGAGAAAAGGGATGGTTTTCCTTGCCATTTCATTAGTTACTTATGATAATCATATTACAGTATTAAGTAAAATAATTTGTGCATATCAATAAAATGATTAGAATTTGGTGATTGAAATCCTATACATTTACGGTATAGCGAGCAGATTTTCATTAGCAGTGCCCTGACTCAGGGATTGATCCCATTCTGCTTCAACGTAGTTGTTGCCATCAAAGCCTATCCAGTCAAAGGCTTTCGATTGGCCGTTACACACCGGCCGCCGACCTAGATAGTAATCTTCGCACAGTTCATACAGATGCAGTGATTCTGCTCTCTGTTATGCTCGAAATTATGCAGAAGTTTTATGTACCTAACTTTAAATATTATGAAATACTAGCTGTGCCCGCGACTTCGTCCGCGTGGAATAATGACTTTGGGTAGGCACTTTTAATAATTTAGTCTAATTATTTTACAAAGGCCTATGTTCAGCAGTGGACGTCCTATGGATGAAATGATGATGATGATGATGATGATTTTACAAATAGCTTTTGCCCGCGACTTCGTCCGTGTAGAAGTCGAAAAAGTTCTCATAGGATTTTTAAATGGTTTTTTTTAACGTTATTAACTAAATGTTTGAATACTATTTGATCGTTTAAACACAGTGAATGATTCAATTACATATTTTTTTAAATATTATAAACAGTTCTGTAAATGTAATTAAATATTACTAAATTATGACTAATGAAACGTTTCACGGCTTCGCTCTCATGAATGTTAACGACCGTCAAAAGCACGTCGATAGATGGCGGTCACTAATTTAGACTTTGATTTGCTCGTTTAAACACAGTGAATTATTCAATTACATAAAATATCTTTATTGATTAAATTTTAAATATTATGAACAGTTCTGTAAGTGTAATATTTAGTTCCTAATTAGGACTAATGATACGTTTCACGGCTTCGCTCTCATGAATGTTTACGACCGTCAAAAGCACGTCGATAGATGGCGTTTTTAAAGATATTTCTCACCTCTTAACTATTTATTGAAATTTAGTTTGTCACATATCGTCATAAATTGTAGCCTATATGTTAGCCTGGGTTATAAATAATAATACTGTAAAGTTTCAACAAAATCCGTTTATTAGTTTTTGCGTGAAAGAGGAACAAACATCCAGACATCCAGACAAAAAGGTCACAGTGAGCCAACCATAAAATATAGACATATGCTGTTGNGGGCGGCGCGCGGCGCTGTAGTGTCTGCGTGCCGTCTTCCTCCTCCGCCTCCCAACCTTCCTCTAACACCCATCTGCGAACCACACCTAAAGTTTACTTCAGAGATACGCTTCCAAAATATTGGAGTAGCTCGTTTACACTAATCCAGCAATGAATTCACAGCATTTCCAATGTGAAATGGCCAGGCGGGGAAAAAACGTCATTTCTTACACTACATTTTTGCTATACCTTGAACTGCTAGCGGATTTGCAGTTTTCGCATTCGCTTCGATAGTCGTCGGCATCTTCGGTGCCGGGCGCATTCGTTCCTTCGTAGCTGCACACGCATGATGGCTGAAATGAAAATAACAATAATTATTTTTGGACCTATAGAGGGACGTGACTGACCTTATCGTCAGTAAGCATTTTTGGTTGCAGGGGAAGAGCGGTGAGGGAGGTGACTGATCTTGTTAGTTAGAATGAAGCGAATGAAGACTTTGTTCGAGTTAAAGTGGAGCTGTTTTTGGGCGGCGGGACAGTGTGAGAGGTGACTGACCTTGTCGACGGTGTAGTTGCAGAGGAAGAGCAGTGATGGGGTGACTTACTGGCATGGTGGTGGGAGATGCGAGAATGCAGCGGTTTGTGTACGGCGCGGGTGATATGTGAATGGTGACTAACCTTGACCTCAGTTAAGCTTTGTTCGCACTAGTCGAGTGGCGAGTAATAGGCTAGTTTCCTAAAAAATTTTTTTTAGCCCGTCATGTTTCGTTCGTTCGTTTCAGCCAAATGACGTCATGTTTAATATCAAAAATCTCTTCTTATGAACTTTGGCGCGCTTTATCTCTTTAAATGTCCAACCAAACAGCAAAAATTTAGTCGAGTAGGTGAATCCATTTTGTTCCATTTTGATAGGTGAGAAGCTCCCACGGTTTTTGGGCGGCGGGACAGTGTGAGATGTGACTGACCCTGGCATGGGCTAGCATTTGGTCGCAGGGGTGGAGCGTGAGGGAGGTGAGGTGACTGGCCAAATCCTCAGTTAGAAGGGAGCGGTTTGTTGTAAAGTCTGTTAGCTGAGAGTTGATAAAAAAAATTAAATATCAGAGGTTCTAAACTCATTATAAATTGCGGCCCGCTAATTATTTTTGTCGATATAGTTAATGAAAAAGTTGGTAGATTATCATTATTATCTCTTTTAAATTTACGGGAATTATTCCGGTTAGGGCATACGTGGGGATACGGATCAAACACGTCCATGTGTTGGATAAAAAGTATATCATTATTATCAAGTGGCTTATAGTGTATCCCAATGTTGGGCAAAGCCCTACCCACTGTCATACCATTCATTTCGGTCTTATGTAAAATAAATCTATTCCGTTTCACACATTGCGGCCCGCCGGCCGGGGCGCTTGACGACAGCTGCGTGGCTCGTACCATGGTACTCAGTGCGCGTTGTGACAAACGATGCCCGCCATACAGAATGCGATAATTAAGCGACAGTCGCTATTGCAAGACATTTCATAATATTTATCAACTCTCGGCGAACAGACTTTAGAGGTGACTGACCTTATCGACGGTGAGCGGCAGCGTGGCGTGCGGCGGCGGCGCGGGCGCGGCGGGCGCGGTGGCGCGGACTTTTTTGTAGAACTTTTAAAGGGGAAAATCCTATCATACATAATTTATGCGAAACTTTAACCGTTTACGCAGCGTCAGCTCTCAAAAGGAAAAAAAACACTGATTTGAAACATTCTTCATTGGTGCTCCGCTCCTAGTGGTCTTAGCGTGATGATATATAGCCTAAAGCCTTCAGGGATTAACGGACTATCCAACACAAAAAGAATTTTTCAAATTGGTCCAGTAGTTCCTGAGATTAGCGCGTTCAACCAAATAAACAAACTGTGATTAATAAATTGCGCCACTACAAACCGTACCAACAGATGGCGCTGTTACGATCTTACTATGGCAAACTCCATCGCGCATACAATCCTGCATCGCGGTGACGAAGTTTTTTACCCTGCCCAGTATATATAGACAAACCAAGACAGGCAAATTAGATGCACCATAGCTCCTTATGGTGGTTGAGCGTCATATTCCATAACTTCAGCTTTATAATATTAGTATAGATAATAACTTTAAATTTCATATCAATAATGTTGCGATGTTACTGTGTCAGCTTACGTGCAGTGCCCCGGGAACACAGCAAGCCTACCGCTCCAGCGCTATGCGCGGCACAAAGCCGCCATCAATCGCGCTGATGAGCGGCTTAACTTGCGAATCGCTCATTGCGTCGTTATTAATTCCCTCCGTTGACCTGAGGTCCCGATAAATCTGCGTAATGTATGGGCGAATAAACCCCCGTAAGCACTCCCGAGGCGGCCACTGTGACAGTATGTGTATATCAATTTACAGTTCTAGGGTATATAACGAAATATCCGCTTGTTTCCAACCAGTCACATCGAAACGAGTAACACTGTTACTTGTAGGGACATTTAAACAATTGCTTACCTATCTTCTTATCGTGCTGGCGGATTTTACTAACTTCATTATTAGGCAATTCCTATCACGTACCTACTTAATACATTCGCAAACCACTTAAAGTCGCGTAATTTTACTGACTCACTGATTCTCGTCTCCGCGCGAAGTTCATCCACCGCTTTTGTCAGTTCAAAGTTCGTGATTGATGATCGAATTATAAGTTAACTCCATGGGATAGTCATTTGCGTATAATCGCACGAACATAAACTTGTAAATTAACGTTACTAACCAGTTTACCTAGATAATGAGTACACATTGTTATCAGTAACATACTCTATAATAATTATTATAATTTTACTAGTATGCGATGCCCACTTTTGCCTAATATTGTTAAAGATTGATTTCATTCATCAAAATGAACATCATATTTCTAAAAAATAAAGGTTTTAATCCTACTATAAATCTTGAATTACAATAATAACGTATATTAATGATACCTCCTACTTTAAATCTGTATTTAGACCAAAAAGTTTCAAACAAACACTATACACACATTATGAAAAGCACTTATTATAAATGGTATTTAGATAGCATAAATCTTCTCTCTCAGAGTTATTTGGTAGACAAATAATAATTTGTAGAGCTAAGAATATTACAAAGTCAAATCGCAGCGCACACATGCGGCCCGGCTCTGAGTTGTTCCGCTCGCTTTTCAATTCCAGTTTTAGCTCAGATATACCAAAGTAAAAGTAAATTGTAAAAAAGAAGCGTGTTTTTGCTTATATTTTGCTTACGAATCGAACACGATAAATGCTTTGGTTTACTAAGTGAAAAACTTAACTACATAGTGAAAATATCTGACCCCTTAGACAACTGACGATCAAATTGATTACAATCCTCAATAATACAATATTAGCATTATTCACAATTACCCATTATTATAATAATATTCTTTTTTACATGAAAAGGAAAAGTATGACACTACAGAAACACATTTTATTAAAAGCAGTAGCTTATCAACAAGTTGAAGACTTCTTACAATATCATCTTCTTTAAAATATCTCTTGTCCCATTAATGACAATATGACCTTAAGCGAATTGTTAACATTACTATTTCGTCTATCTAAAATATAGCGAAGTTCCATCACCGCCTTTGTGTTTAAATGAGCATAGCAATTTAAACGTTCCATGAAAGTAATAGTTCAGAGTCAATACTGTTAAAGTGGTTTAATAATTAATTAACTTAAAGGAAACTTAGAAAATATGTTCTTTAATTAAAGTATTGCGCGAAATGATTTTGTACATCTTATGGAGACTTTTTAATGAGACAGTCCCTTAATAGCTTGTTTGCAAAATAAGGTGTTTACAAATATTTTTCGGTATGAAATGAAAAATGTCATGTTAGGTACTATAATAAAGTTGTCATCCAAACTATTCAGGTATCTAAATCTGAAATAGAGCCCTAACAACGTGTCCAAGTACGTCGTTCAATAGATGTGCATCCGCGCTCGGATCGGATACCCTTTGTGCTCGGGCGGAGTGCACTTGTATCTCTTTGAGAGGCCGATCTCTGCATTCCTCGAAACTGACCAATATACTCCTTGTCAGTGGTAATACCATTACCCCTCTCTTGTGTTATGGTTCATCGAATAAGTCTGATGATATAGTCATAAATATTGCTCAGCCTAAAATAGAGCATGTGAATGTTGGCGACATTGATACTATTCATTTAATTTTACATTGACATTTTCTTAATTATTTGACATTTATATTATTGAATCCTGTAATTTTTGCACGTCTGCGAGCAGACTAAACACATGATCCTATTTTAATATTTTCACCCTGTATTACTGTGTTTTTAGCAAATAAACGTTTTGAATTTGAATTTGTTAAATTGTATTGATCTTTCGCTAGCCAGTTTACGTATAAAAACACAGAGAAAAAGTTGGTTGGAAAACTCTATCACTACGTCGTTTTTAATCTTGCGTAATTTTTCTCCGAAAGATTTCTCATCTGTTACGATCCCGTGCCAACAAAAGCGTTGCAGTGTAAAAAGTAAACAATATATCTTCAGTCCCAACCGACATTTGTCAGCGACGCTCGGCTCGGTATCCGACAATAGGATGGCCCGACGAATGCCTCTGCTGATTGATTCCGACCGAGCCGCGACGACACTACATTGAGATTGATTGTCCCGCCTCCCCATTTCCCATCTCCCTACTTCCCCGGCTCCCATGACATGACCATCTTATACCCCTTTCGTAATATCAGTTTCGCGCTATAAAAAGCCGCTTAAATGTTTCAGATGATTGATTCATTGATTTTTCGGTAGGAGTCGTCTATTGTAAATAGGCACAGAAAACTTAGTTCGGATTGAAAATTATTTTGTCTAATTTACTTACGACGTTACTATCTTTGTCTCTAATTAATATTATACCTACTGCACAAAGACTCAGGTTATAAACAGAATTACGCTGTTCATGAGCTTTCATTATTTCTTGAGTGAAATGTGTGACATACGCTTTTCAAATACAATAAGTATTCCGTGTGCGCCGTATCGTGTACTAAATCTAATAAAACCCCAGAAAACGTCATGAAATCCATTCCACGTTTTAGCACAGATAACGAAGTAAAGCTTGTTAAGTTACGTTTTACAGCAAATAATTTATTTTATGAAAGGAAAAAAATAGTAATAGCTTTCCCAGGGCCTTCCAATTAGCAGAAAGATCATTTTGCACCCTTCTAAAGTTCTCTTTTCGATAGAAAAATTATACACCTATTAATAAGTTGATAACATAAAATATATTCGAATTAAGTTAAAATTAAAAAAATATTTGAAATCCAATAAGTCTGTGACACCAGAAAATATACAAATCTTTTTCATTTCATATCACTCCGTAAGCTTTGTAGCACCAAAATAAATGCAGATGTTAGTGCGCTCATGTATTTGTGTACATAAAATTCAGCAAAATCGAATTGTAGAATGTTTGTTTTACACAATTTAAGTTCTAGGGGCTTTCTACCTGGGTTTTGGCAGGTGGAACCAGCAGCATAAGTTCATACAAGAAGTGAAACGAGTGAGTTTGGGTAATGAGCCCTTATCCTTTATTTCACTGTGGCTCTACGTTGTCGGGACACGCGCGGATGTCGTTTCGCATAATAGACTCGCTCGCTCGCGCGCGGCCGCGCAATGCTCTGGTGCTCGAAGGAGCCTTAACTTGTCAGGTGAAGAGCAATAGCGGGTGTAGATAATGGACGTGGTCATAATAAACGTGTAGTTTTGAAGAAACAAATTAATAGTAAGTAGAGAGCTGAAATAATGTTTTTAGATGATTATACCAACTTGGAGATCTAGCGCGTACTTTCGAACGTTAAATAAGTTGAAAAACATTCACAGAATCTAGGGCCTACTCTACTTACCTAGATGAAAATGTCAGATTTTTTGTAAGGTAAAAATTACGTTAGATCGAAAAAAACTAGTTGTATTTTGACTGGCCTTTAAGTAACAACTCCACGTCCCCTAGAGAATTTCCAACTCTAACAGTACTTGTATACTTACCTTAATGGAATGAACCCAATTTAGAATTTCGTCTCCAAATGGTATCCCTGACGAGTAACTTTTCGCGTAAAAATTGAATTGTAACATTTTCTTGACATCTCGTAGCAGAGTTTTTGGCTGACACTGTGTAGGTTTGTCGTCAACAGGAAGATGTACGATAAAATTTAAAAGTAGCTCCTCGCCATTTCCGCGCTGCCGAGTGTAGCTCTGAAGTAGCTCGCTGCATATCTCCTGCGGTACACTAGAGCAGTGTTTCTTAACCTGTGGTCCGCTGACCCCTGGAGGTTCACGAGCATATGTATGGGGGTCTGCAACCTTATCTTTGGACCAATAACAATCTACGAGTATATCTATACTAATATGATAAATGCGAAAGTAACTCTGACTGTATGTCTCGCTTTCACGCCTAAACCACTGAACTGATTTTGATGAAATTTGGCATCGATATAGTTTGAGTCCCGGGAAAGGACATAGGATAGTTTTTATCCCGGTTTTTAAAACAGGGACACCGCGTTAAAGTTTTTCTGCGACAGACAAAATTCCACGCGGGCGGAAAGCTCTTAAATAAATGCCACCATTGCTGTTGTTTTTATTAAGGAGTCCTTAATTGTGCTTGATTTCCTACGGGGTCCGTGGACAAAAAAGGTTAAAAAACGCTATATTAAAGGGTGTGACTGACCTCCCAGCAGCAGCTCGGCTTCGGCGTGCGCGTTGTCGCGGCCGCGGCGCGCCACGCACTGGTACAGGCCGCGGTGCGCGCGCGCCACGCCGCGCAGGGCCAGCTCGGCGCCCGCGCCCGCCGCCGCGCCGTCGTGCAGCCACGACAGGCTGGCGCCGGCGTCGCTCGCGTTGCAGCGCAGTGTCACCGTGCTGCCGCTGTCCGCGACCTGTTGGTCAATGTGGAACGGCTTATGGTCTAATACCACCAGCTCGCGCTAAGCGTTTCGATGACTCTTTTATAATGCGAACAACTAGGGACTGGAATTCGTTGCCTGCTGCTGTCTTTCCCGAAAACTATAATCCGGGCCTTTTCAAGGAAAGAGTGAATAGGCACTTACAGGGCAGATATGGGATGCAGTCTAGGATGGTCCTAGACTGCATCCCACTTAACATCAGATGCGATTGTGGTCAATAACCTGCCTTGTTTTGCATTAAAAAAAATACAGCGACAAATAAACTTCTGATATCTGAGGATCATAATATGGAGACAGCGATAAGTGACTTAGTAGCTTTTTGGAAACTTGATGTCAGTACATGAGATGATTGTAAGAGTTGATTAGCCTAATGCTTCAACCACACCAACGCGTGCAGATCGCCATCGCCGGCGCGATCATAGGCGAATGACAGGTCGCACGTAGTAGTATTCTTCTACAGACAGCCCTACGTAGCTGAGAGTTGCTAAAACATTTCATACAGAATTTTTGTATTTGTGCGCAGACCCCTTGGGATGACCAAACTAACAAAGGATATGAAATTCAGGAGTACTATTTCACGGAATAAATGAAATTAAAAATAAAATATGCATGAGCAGTTTCATGGTCTCTAGCAGGTACTTTGTCTTGTGTAATTCATAATATTTTTCAGTAATTAACATGGTTCAAATTAAATTGATGTCACATTAACTGCTGCTGTATACTTACTGAGCTTCACTTTGCGGGCTGCTTTATTTGACTGACCAAAAAACGTACCACCTACTTGCTTACATAGAGACTTAACTGACATAGAAACTACAAACTACAACCTTGTTTAGGTCCTAACGAATATTAGCCCTTTCGGACCCGCGCTTAAACTAGAAAGAAATTTGTAATTTTGGACATGAATTTTAGGTAATTTGGGGCCGTAGATTACGAATCTGCTATAATTTTCCAGATTTTCCGCCGCCATCTTGGAAAATTCATATACCAACAATTGTATCAAACTGGGCCCTTCACTTCCTACGTACAATTGTGAGGGTCAAAATTGTAAGGGTTTTGGGAATTTTATCAATGGCATGTATTCCGAAAAACGTATTTATAACCAGTAAGGAATAAACAGGTTTAATTTTTATACCAGTATTTGCCATTTAATATTGATTTGTGGGCAAAACCATCTGTTCCATGAGCTCAACAGTAAACATAGCGCTCGAAATAATTCCTATGGAGTTTTAATATCTCCTGGATCATGAACAGCATCTCCTGGAAGATGTTGACGATTGAAGAGCTTCGTCTGATATGCCGCTTGCATACTCAGAGGTATGTATCGTCATGAATGTCTGAGCCTTTATCAGAAGAAGAGGAGTAGTTCATCTGAAGTAGTCTAAACTAGCTTTTGTCGTTGTCACCGCTCTCATCCCTAGATGCATTGAGCATCTCTGCGATAGTAGCGTCGTTTAAAATCGGAAACATGGTATGGAAACCATGAAAAATTAATAATTATGAGAAACTTAAAATACGCATAAGGTATTGTAGGGCCCACGTCGATACAATTGTGTCAGTAAAGTTCGTTAAGCTGCTACGCCAAAGCCTTTGCTTACAAGTAGTCACTGTTATCACAAAAATATGCTATTTTTAACAATTTGTCCAATCATTAACTTGTATATTACTACAATTACAAAATAAAACCATAGTAGGTACTTTCTTTCGCCAAGTCGGGGAGCGCAATCAGTCATGAACTGTACAGGTTGTAACCTGCTCACCAACTGCGCTTCGGACAAAATTTGCACGGGAGGTGAAAGAACACATCCCGCACAATCGTACGATACTCAGCCCATCCACTTCCGATGTAAAACTAATGAGATATTCTCGATTTTGTAACCCGCACAATTGTATTGGAGCGGTCCGAAAGGGTTAGTAAGAAATAAAATAGTGGACTGTATAAAAATAGGTTGCTGTAATTCTCGCCAGCCTAATTACAATAAATTATGAGAGTACGTGGTATTCGTGCGACGACGGTGGTGTCCAAAGGCGAGTGTCTGAGCCGAGCGCAGCCGATGATGACGCTGTCGGCCCGAGGTGACGTTAGTCATTGTACGCCGCCCGCACGTCTCCTCCCGCGCGTTGTTGGGTTCCCAACAACCTTCTAACTGTAAACACTCACCACTAACTCCGGCGTAACAGTAACAGAGAGCGTGTCCTTGACTTCGATCCTCATCTGCGCCGTGGCGTCCCCGTACACGTTGTAGGCCTTGCAGAGCCACGCGCCGGCCGCGCGCGGCGTCGCCCGCGGGAAGCACAGCGCCGCGCCGCCCGCCCACGCCCACAGCGCCGCCGACGGCTCCACCGGCTGCAGCCGCCCGCCGCTCTCGCGGTACCAACTGACACAACCAAACAAGATTGGTCAATGAGGCAAGCAACACCATTAATACTACTTTTGTTTCGTCCGTGGTGCATATCTTTTCGTAAAGGTTATTAAAACCTTTGTTTGTCACCTGTCATCCGCTTTGCAATGGAGGGAAGTCGAATCTTAATTTCGAACTCCTCCTATGTTCTTCTGATTAAATTCGTTGCGGGTCCAATGACAGTTTAACTTTCGCCCGAGACAAACTTGACCTTCATGGGTTGGGTTTTTATGGCGGTCAAGCTGTAGATCCTGACTACACAGGAGTTGCAGTGGTGGGAATAGTCCCGTACTTTATAGAAAAATCACATTAAAGAGCAGCTTAAGGAACCACACGTGCATAAACTAAAATAGCATAAAAATTTAAAATGTCTCTTCTAAAAGAAGTTTCAAACTGAAGTTATGATAATACACACGTGTAATGCGGCGGTGGGTGCTCCGTGGTGACGCAGGGTATGCAAAAGTCGGCACCAGCTGGCACGGAGATCTCGCTCGGTGTTGCCACTAGTCTCGGCGCCGAGTTGGAAGGCCCGGCTGCAACCGAATGCGTTTTTTAACTTACGAAATATTAATTTAAGCTAAACAAGTAAACATTAACATGTCTCTAGTGCTAGTCTTTAGGGTTCAAAACAAAAATGTATTTTTTGTAATAGACAATACTGTATAGTGCTAAGTCTTGCTGTGTCTAATAAAGTATGAGCGAGTGTCAAATTCATCAAAATGATCGAATTTCCCAATAAACTAACCATCACGAGGTTCCAGTGTGCTCACGTCAGGTGCAATCCATCACTCTTCATCCTCCGCCGTTATGGAACTCGTGACAGGGAATTTGGGAGCGAAAGTGTTCCGTTTGTGTTTGTGTTGAGATAAATTATGAGAGACAACTTACATAAACACCGCTCTCAGTCACTTTAATGGGACTTAAGTGACAGGGATGATTTTACATAAAATCACTTAGATGGATCTAAAATGTATTATGTAGGTGTGTAAAATGTTTTTGAAAAATAATAAATATACCCTCGTAAATGGTCATGAATATTTTACTCGTAAATAACACAAGCTTCAAATCCCAGTAGGTACAGATAATTCTAGAAATAGAAAATGTTTTTAGGTGAATTATTAATACTATGAGGTGTGTTACCCAGAATTTATATCTTTGTCAAATTATGCTAGCTTATGTAACCAATTCCATGTAATGCGTAGCTAAAGGTCACGAGTAATAATTTCGGGTAAGTGTATGAAAAAGCGGTTTTCAGCTGAAGTCTATTGTTTCAGTACAGGGAATCGAATAAACAAAGTAAAACCACGGTAATACTATCATACAGTATTGTAACTTCATATAAACGGACGAAACGAGAGCTTTCCTTCGAAATTCAAATCTCGGTATGCGCTCGACATGCAAAAGTCGGGGGTGTCGCGAATGTGCCACAGTAATAAATGGACGATGTGTTGTTTATAAAACAGTAAGCGCTCTTTTTTTATAAAAATAATTACAAGTACCTATTTATACAGGGTGTTAGGTAAATGGGTTTATAAGCCGACACTAGCCCATGTTCATGTGTATGGTGAAGACAGTGCAGTGATTTCATCACTTTTTTTTTTATTTTCATATAAAATAAAATTTATATGAAAATTTAAATTATTAAAAATATGATGATATCAATTTTCTGACTTCACTATACCATTTATATGCACAGTCATGTTAACATGGGCTAGTGTCGGCTTATAAACCCATTTATCTAACACCCTGTATAATAATAATCAAGCATTTTGTACGCCTCAGTTGAGACGACATTTTACGGTCGTAAATTTATAAGATTTGTTACTAAATCTTAACACAAATACATTTTTTAATTAAATCTACTAATCACAAAACAGCATGCATTTTTGTCCTATTTCATTCACAAAGTATTTTGTTTGTCAAAATAAAATAAAAATTACAATCACAAAATACATTCACATAACTAGATAAAAATTCTAAGTAGGCAGATGTAATGAAAATAGGGTCTGCGGATGGGCAGCCCTATCGCATGTTGTCATACAGTGACGTACCGCGCGGCTATTGACATTTATTTCAAAAATATGGCCGAGTTGGAATACTGTATAGATAGTATTACCGTGGTAAAACAGTACTGAAAAATAAAACCTTTATCAAAAAACACTTTCATTAGAATTTGCTACCAACCGGGCGATGTGGAGATCTTTGGGCAAGGCCTATTTATTTATTTATTTATTTTATTTATATGGCATACCAACAACATATATATGTTCAGCAGTGGACGTACTGTGGCTATAATGATGAGGATTGCAATCATTTGTATTCAAAGTGAATTAATTGATAAACTAAATCAGATATTAAGCTCAAAATAAGGGTAGCTATATTAAATACAAATTCAATCATATAAATGAAATGAGGAACGTAACAAACTTAGGTTTATCACTTTATCTACAATAGCGTACTCAAGCTCAAAGTTGCTTAGCGTGCTATACCTACTCGGTGTTTGGTTACGAGATCGAAACAGAAATGAGGAGATCCGTAAATGAACTAAAGTCCCTGACATAGCCTGACAGATTAGCAAGCTTTATTGGCAATGGTCAAGGCACATAGTACGCAGAACTGACGGCCGATGGGGCAGCAAGGTTTTGGGGTGGAGGCCACGTACCGGAGAACGCATTGTGACGACATCGTAAAGGTAGCAGGAAGGCGCTGGACGGAGGCCGCTACCAACCGGGCAACATGGAAAGCATTGTGGGAGGCATTTGTTCAGCAGTGGACGTCCTATGGCTGAGACGATGATGATAATGAGTGTACTCACTGGTGACGGCCAGATGCGCGGGCCGCGAGCGCTTGGTGTGCTTGGTGAGCGCGTGGCGCGCCAGGCAGCTGTAGGCGCCCGCGTCCGCCGCCGACACGTCGCGGATCAGCAGCGTGTTGCCGGCCACTAGGTACCGACCATCTACGCAACAACCGAATAACATGAACAAAACCCGCTTTACCTTAAGCTACACCTGACAGTGAAAAACTAAATTCATTAGCCGCCGGCATAAAAAGTGCATACACGAGTAAAGTCGGTGTCTTGAGGGAGATTATAACGAGTTCTTATCCAGCCATTCATCAGAGTCCAGGAGAAATACGGCGCGAATGAGATATGGCCCTAATTAATATTGCTCCCCGAGATATAAATATGGCACGGCAGAAGCCCTTGTTAGACCACTCGGCTTTAATTAAGAGTTTACGGTTTCCCCGCTACTTGATATTTTAAATTCGCAACGTGTCGTGACCCGGCGAGTTCACTTTCATAAAACAAAAGACGGTATTAATCTTGAGAAGTTTTTGCATTACGTTCCAACTTTTACACGCAAACTTTTCTTAGTGGCTCTAAACTAGAACACTTAAGTTATGTAGATACAGAAATGTCCAACCTGCAATTCAATACTACTCGTACTCATATAATTTGAGTTTGAAGGAATCTCCCTCTATACGAACCACATTCAACTAGACAACAAACTACTTGTACCTATTATTATTATTTAATTTACTGACTTATGTAAGTACGTACTTATTTTTTAAGAGATAAAGTTGTTTGTTGTGTGATTATTCGTCTGTTTATTCGTATACAGGTTTTTGACTGTAAAACATAGTAAGACTTTCCCTGTAAGAGACTTCTGAAAAATACAAGTAAGAGTATAAGTAAGTATGTCGTGCTCGTATGTCTTCAACTGTGAGCAAAACAATTATTTGTATTCAACACCTCCATTAAATTACGTTTAAGTACCATAATGCCAAAGCGTAGCTATCATTCAGCTGAAAAAACACGAAAAACAATCTAAGCGCAAGCGGCTGATATCAGGAAGCCAATAAATTAATTAATTAAGAGCGCTATCGGAGTGAGTTACGGGAGGCGCCGGACACGCGGGCGGATGATAGATTTATTATTCCTCTCTGTTCCCTCTTCGCTCGCAGTGTTTTTCCTCCGAGTGCGGTGCGATAATCCCTTGAAACTATCCGGGTAAGAACTTCCCGCGAGTGAATACTAAATAATTAGGTTCAAGTTACTTCCTTGAGTCTGGGAGAAATGAGATTGTATTTTATTTATGATCGTATTCTTAAAATTGAATACAAGATTATACGGAAAATTTCGATAAACAAGTAACACTTATATAAAACTGCTCTGTGAAAGTTGGAATGACACATTATTTTCCTCCACTTTTACTCACGACACTGAAAAGTCACAATAAGTATGCAAAAACCTGCCATTTTGTTTGCCGATTGAACCAATTGTGATGGGATCAATGTGAATGCGACTGTTTATATGGGATTGTTTATTAGACAAAACACAGTAGGTCGCGCGTCACGACTGACGCACATCTTATTAGTATATAAGCAGTTAATAATTAATAAACTACGCTCTTGATTATCGCACACGCATCCAGCTGTTTCATTTGTCGTCTCCCTGCTCAGGAACCAAATTGGTGACCCCGACGTGATTCTCCGTGATTGCACATTTCAATCGGCCTTCCACAAGCGGTTATCACCGATTGAAATTTCAAGAGGCATATAGTCACGGAAATCGTAATTTTGGGAGAACAACAGCCGGTGAACATACAAGAGACAATGTATCAGCAACAGTGCGCACCCTCGCCAGCGGACAGAGCTGCACCTCCACCACCGAGTGAAGTATCAACCATCAGAGTTACCTCAAGCATACCCGATTTTTGGCGGGATCAACCTCGGTTGTGGTTTGCACAGTTTGACGCAATATTGGAACCACAGAAACAAGGTGACGAAACCAGATACAATCTTGTAATTGCAAAGCTGGGCAAAGAAGAAATACAAGAAGACAGCGATAACAACACCCTTCGGCCTATTTGAATTTACAAGGATGACGTTCGGACTTCGTAATGCCAGCCAAACGTTCCAAAGATTCATGGATATGGTATTAAAAGGACTGGATGTTTTCGTTTTCGTCGACGATATCTTATTACCATCATGCAGCGAGAACCAGAATAAGATCCTGTTGAGACAAGTTCTAGAGAGACTTGACAAATACGGTATCGCACTAAATGTAAACAAATGCAGTGTACGCTGACGCTACACCATCTCTTTTTTTGCACTTGAAGTGGAACTTGCTGAAACGGTCTTATAGGATCCATACCTGGCGTGGGCTGGTGCGTGTCGATGACGCGGTCGCCGCGGTACCACACGGCCGGCGCCACGAGCTCCGCGACGCCGGGTGAGCCGCACGTGAGTGCCGCGATCCCGCCCAGCGCCGCCGCCGGCGCCGACAGAACTGCGTCCCAGCCCGTATCTGACACTATTATTGAAAAACAAAATAATCACATAACTAAACTTCTTCTACAACTTAAATAAACCATTTTTTGTAAGTTGGAAGATTCGAAAATTTACATTTTTTGTAAACTTGCAAGACTCTACATGCACTTTTGAAATGTTGCATCACACAGGAAGCGTATTGATTCCTAAAGGCTGAAGCTACATTTAATATTTATGACAACTAGGTAAATATTTGATACTAGCTTTCCGCCCGCGGCTTCGCCCGCGTGGAATTTTGTCTGTCACAGAAAAACTTTATCGCGCGCGTCCCTGTTTCAAAAACCGGGATAAAAACTATCCTATGTTCTTTCCCGGGACTCAAACTATCTCTATGCCAAATTTCATCAAAATCGGTTGCGAGGTTTAAGCGGGAAAGCGTAACAGACAGACAGACAGACAGACAGACAGACAGAGTTACTTTCGCATTTATAATATTAGTTGGGATTTGCTACAAGAGCTGCCCGCTGTGCATCCTAACACTTGTAAATAATTCTCTCATTTTTGTGGTAAAATCAAAATCTAAACGTGTAGAGTCGCACTAAATCCAAGGCAATAAATTACCAGCTTTTAAAGATAAAATGTTACGAAACTCGTACCAATCATTAACTAGGGTTCGGTTCATTAACTGAGTGTAACTCTGATCGAGAGCAAGTCATCGAGCTCAAATCGGATAAGGACCCAACTAGTGAGGTAACTAGTTGCTCCGAGTTCGATTTATTGGCCGACTTGGCCGCGAGTTTGCGCTCTGAATATCCCAACAAGTAATTTGTTTCGTTCGGGAAGCAATTTTGGAGATGCGGTTACTCAAATTTAAATTGAATCCCAAAAATAGGTTTGTGGGGCAAGCGGAATATGATGCATTGTGAGTGCGATGTATGTCGCTGAAGTTTCTGTGGAACAATATGGTATTGCTCTAGGTTTGCTTTTTATTATCTTTATTTCCTGAAAAACCAAATCTTACATTTGACTCTGGTTCGCCTAAAATTAAATGGCCTGATGATTATGATGGTAGCTGATGAACTAAAGAATTTCTTGATTTGGGTGAAATTGGTGATTATTGGTTGAATCCTTGTAGGTTCGTGCTTAAAATACGAATAATATTCATTAATATTGCGGATTTTACAACACTATTATACAGTTAGTGAATCCAAACATTGTTATAATCGTGGCTTATCATATTATATACAAAGAAGTAAAAATAGCTCGCAGCAGTGAACCAGGAAGACATGAGAGGACACGGCGACTGCGATCATTTGCGGCAACACGGCCTCGGGCGATTACACGCAGGATCTCTCCCGAAGCTTCTTGGCGAGTTTTATTACATTATTAATAAAAATAAGGATAATTGGTATTACATTACATAGACTAAGAACACTTTAGCTGAACAACGAAACACAAAAAGTTGTGTGATACGATAGAACTTTACTCGTACCTTAGTCAGGTCAATTTCGGGACATTAAGGTAGAATATGGAATGGGGGAACCTTTAAAATGTAGTTCGATTATACAAAAATGGTGAAAGATGAGAATACAATAAATTATTTGCATTTCTCTTAACAAATAAAAATTTATAGTTATTTGCCTCGTCAATCAATAAAATAAACATGCTTTTTGACACTCTTATCATTATTTAGAGCTACTAAAGTAAATGAATGAACAAGTAGAAATATTGTTCCGCAATCAATTTCGGAGAGTGGCTAGAACGTGAGATTTATTAACCTCTACCTACAGGGTTATTTGTAAAACATCCGCAACCTCGCAGGACTAAGAAAGCAGAAAGCTAAGATCAATATTACAATATCATTTTGTTCTACGAGTTTTAAATAGGTAGATCGATTTACGTAAAATGATTTTGAAGTTTTTAAAAAAAACTTATTATAAATACCTGACTGTAACATGACGTTATCCAGTTTAAAAGCCTATGATACCTGGCTGTAGCATTACGTAGCCAATCTAAAAGCTATGATACCTGGCTGCAGCGTGACGTCCCGGGACAGCGCGACGCCGTGCGCGTTGGCGGCGCGGCAACGCAGCGTGCTTGCCGCGTGGAAAGCGCTTGATGGCAGCACCTCCAGCGTGCCGTTCGGGTACACCCGCCTGGGCAAATGAATTCTTTGTCAAAATAGTAACATCATCCATATTTAAAAGGTCTGGGTGGTGCTTAAAGGGCCCATTGCGAGATAGCGTTACCTGGGTAACCACTAAGCTAATGAAAATAACCGGGTTACTATAAATAAAAGTTAGCAAGATGAATATCTCGCTTGACATTACTCCAGCTCTAGCTAAAATCAAATTAATTTAAATAAATCCGTTTATGTAGATTACATTGGTAAAAGCGTAAGTTAACTGAACTAATAATATTTATTGAAATCTGTACTGATTATAATTACGTTAATAGCAACAGGTTTGATTGATAACAAAATTAAATTTCAAAATTAAAATTCTTATATTGTAGCAGTGTTCTCAAGGGAGACGCTGTTTTACCTTACATACAGCAAATGTACAGTCGATAGCACGTCAAGCTTGCTGTAAGTGTCGTCAAATTGCTTGAAGTAAACGGTTTTGGCGGTTTTGGTTAGTCAGTCACAAGTCAAGTTTTCGGCTACTAATGCAGGAGTGTAGCCGATGTGTTTGACACAAATATGTGGTCGCAAACTTGCGGTGTATTTCATGTTCTTACACTCATTTGTTTGGGCTCGCGGCGCTGCAGGCACGGTGCGGCTCCCAAGCGATGTATCACAACAATGTGCTATGAATACTGTCGGGGCAGGAGACGAGAAAATAAATATGTGTTCCTACACGACTTAAATTAAAAACATTCATGTTTTAAATAAACTAATTTTATAATAGTATAATTTTAACCGAATTACTCATTTCCCTACAGACCAATCTTTACAGAATACCTAGAAAGCTTCTATCGAGAAAGCTATTGCTGTAATCTCAAAGAGCTTTCTCGTAGCTATTTCAAAGCTCTGACAAATGCACTTAGTTCTTTGTGCAGCAATTTTTCAGGCTGAGCAGCAAAGTGTTTTTGTCACGGAGAGCGAAATGTAACGAGACTCATTATTGTGAAAAATGCCCGTTGCTAGTTTTTTTCAAATTACTTTAATTTTATAAAAAGTGTTAATTTAAGTCTATTTAAAGATAGTAATGAGATAATTTTCAAGGAAAATCTGCTGTACGGTAACGTGGCCTAATTTAAATGAACGTTGTATAATCTTATAATAATAACACGTAAATGTTAGCACATTTCTATATAAATTTGTACAGAGTCTAATATTGTTGATTAATATTTCGGAAACGTAAAACCGTGATTGACGGTAGGACATGAAGTTTAATTCAGGTTTCTTTATTACAGCATAAATTAAAATTACAAAGTATCAGCAATTACAATGGCGAGACAAAGGAAGGATGAAATTTCATTCTTCGCAATATCCAAAGGAGACTCCTAATGATAGCAGTTTGTCTCAGGAACAATTACTGCAGGCAAATTATGATCGCCCTCATTGGACTTAATTATTACTTTTTTCTTGCAAAAAATGGCCTCATTAATTTTACTCCTCTGTGCTTAAAATAACCTATTGAGGTGTTATCATTTCATTTGCCATTAGGGTGACAGCTAATGATGTGATATTTAAGTATCGTTATTATGCTCAGTTTCGCACTGGTATAATTGTAATGACCGAAAAAGATACATAATCCATATTATAGACATTACAAGTGGGACGTGAATAAAAAAATAGTTTTATGGTACTATACAGTATAGTGTTAGTTTTCATCTAATTTTGTAGTGTTATATCACCGACCTCCGGGGGAGGACACTGGGGTCGGTGGGGTACAAGAGTAGCCATAAAACGCAGAGTACATGACGCAGGTAACTGCGTACATTCATTGTAACCGCACACAATGGTAGTACTCGTACAACAGAGAGAATATTTAGTTGCGTGGCGAGTATGTAGTTTGTCCGTTTGTTGCCCGCGCAACAAGTCAGCGGGCGCCGGCCTCCAATCTAGATTTCTCGTGATCCGCTTTGTTTCGTATTTACAAAGCCTATAAATTGGAAACGCCGAACTAGGTCGCTGGTAAAACTTACTATTTCATGGGAGCATAGGAAGACTTTTTACATAACAATTTTGTTTGTGTTTTCTTTCAATAATGTAATCACAAGAACATCTTTTGCAGCGAAAAATGTGCTTAAGAAAGCTATGGTCAAAGTAATACATATCCTGTGCAGACTATAAACTTTTGTATCCATTGCTTGTCAACACAGAGCTTTGAAATTGAGTGTGGTTGAAAGTTTATCTTCTCTGTATGAAATAGGTTCTGACTTCAACGTCAGAACCTGTTCAAATCAAATTATAATGTGCGTAAGTATCTATGTACAAGTGACGTATGAAGATAAACGAACCTACCTTTAATTATTATGAGTGGCTCTCCACCCAACGCGGCGTATAATAGCGCCCCTTCTTGCCTCAAAAGCCATTGGTTCACATAAGAAAAAACACGATTTGTAAAAGGATCTGACCTGAGTCCAGGCCTATCGTCCAGCGGCGTCCCATCGTCGCCCAGCCAGGCGACGCTGGGCGGGGGCTCGCCGGCGGCCGCGCAGCGCAGGCGCACGCCGCCCGCCGCCGCGAAGCGCACCAGCGCCGGCGGCTCCTCCGTGAAGGCCGGGCCCTGCCGCCGCGCCGCCCGGCTCGCGCCGTCCGAGCCCGCTGCAACACATGCTTGCTTGGACCACACAACACCACATACTTTATGAAACAATAGTAGGGAGTATCTGTGACAGCCAGTAGTTACTTTAATGCACAGAATACCAGCGTTATACTCTAGGTCTTGACCTAGGGCATAGCACATGCTGAGTGGCTACCATTTTTGGTTCAAATTTAACTAGGTACCTACTTAGTAATTATATTGTTGTAAGTAGTCTAAGGATGTTTGGACTAAATAAAAATATTTTTCTTTCTTTTTTCTTCTTCTTTAATTTAAGATCATCCGTTTACGTTTCTCTAAAAAAAATGTGATAACTAATAAACGATGGAACACTTTTATTCTGTCCTGTTGAATAAAACAGCACGTCATGCTAACTGAACTGTAGAGTGAAATTTGCTAATACAGCGTGTTGATTTCCTCATGTTACAATATTATGAAGCTCGCTATAAATCTGAGCTATTTCAATTTTGCAAAAATCCCGACAGTAAGATGTTATCCTTCTGTAAGCCTTAAAAGAAAATTAGAAAGACTTTTATTTTGTCCTTCGCCTTTTCTCGAGCTCCTGAATTTTTTCATTTTCTCCCCGACGGTGAGTTTATCTGCGTTAACTCGATAGCTAAAGACAAAAAACAACAAAAGTTTTTCGGTTTCATTAAGGTTCATTTTGGTAAAAATCCCGAATGTGTCCCGCGGGGACTTAAAATAAGTTAACTGCGCGGATTCTTTTCACAAACAGAGACTAACTTTAAGCCACTTAAAACTCTAACAAAACAAGTTGAGTTTTAAAATCGTTTGACCTAAAAAAAGGAGTCGAGCGTCGGAGTTGGAAACTTGCGTCGACGATTCTGCGAATCGTCCTCAAATGTGTAATTCTGTTAAGTTTGTTGGCAGTTGTTTGGCAGAATTAGTTCTGTTTCACTTTTACAATAGAGTGTGGTGTGCCACAGTAGGGAGGCGAGTGGTAGAAGTGCCAGTTCTAATTATTTCTTAGTATTCGTTGAGCGCACTTAACACGTTTTGTCATGTCGTATACGAAATTTCTATTGTGTCCTTCCCGAGAAATTTGTTGAGCGTCGAGACGAGGGACGGAGAGAAAAGAAATTATTACAATATACCTGTAATCCCTCCGCGGGCATTGTGACGGAACCAATCTCCGAAATTAAAAGGAACATGGAACGTGGTTGAAGAGGCTTTTGTGCGAGGGAAAAATCGGTCAAGACAGAAGAGCTCACGCATTGAATTTTACGCACAAAAATAAGGTTTTGGGAGCTGCAGTTTGCCTATTCATTCATACCTACCTATTGCACAATTTTTAAGATACATAGGCATGTAAATTGAAAATGTCCAGAGTGTTATTTTATATTTTATTAAACTCAATAGGTACTCATTACAGTAGTATTGCTTCAGAAACGCATCTACAATAATATGTTTGGCGATTAAAATTATATTTAAGTAAGTTATATTAAGTTCATATCCATCAATTAAACTGTACCCAAAAGCGTAAGTACTGATCGAGGTGTTGTACTTACGCGCAAGCAGCAGAGTCACCACGAGGAAGATCGCGTGCATGTCGCCGCCGTCTGTCGCCATCGCCTGTCGTCTGTCGCCCGTCGTCGTCGCCTGTCGTCGTCGCCTGGCAACAATACAATGCCGTCAGGTGACACATCCAATCCACGATCCCTTAGAAACGAGATTTTTGTTGGGAGGGACACACTTCACTCAGGGGGATATGGGTTTATAAGTACCTACAGATAAAATCGTTGTATGTAGATTTATTATACACCAGTTTCAAAAGTTTGACTACTTAAGTTCGTAATTAAATAAATAAGAACAAAGCAAATCCACCGTAATTCATGACAATAAATTATGTTGCAAGAATCAAAGAGCAGAATATTAAAATTTTGTCTATAATAAACAAACACAATTTGTTATAATAGCATTAGATAATTTTAGACAAATCAAGTTAACTTTTAAATACCTATAATTGACATTATTTCAATGGTTTCTTATTGACACTTATACCAGTAGGGCAACGTCGCGACGCAGTCACGTACCTACAATTGGCCCAACAAACAAAAAATTGTCCTGACGGGGAAATGAGCGCGGGTCTTTTGTGCGTATTCAAAGTTGTTGTCAGTTCGGAACTCAATAAACCTTCGCGTCTCGAGAGCTCGAGTTCGGGCCCTCGGAGACTTGAATCTAGTTACCAATGTTGCTTTGGGAAAGAGAAACAGCTTATTTTTACGGACAGATAAACTTTTCCAGACGTAAACTAGTAACGAGGATCGCTTTGAGATTTTTTCTAGGTTCCAAATCAGATTATCCTAATAAAAATAAAAGTGGATTGTGGATTCAGTTACTTTAAAATAAATCTCAACGCCGTAAAAGTAAACGTTAAATAACTACGAGTATATACTTTGACGATGTTCCAGGACACTTGGATATTTTAGACTTTAGACTTAACCGACATTAAAAAAATAGCATGTTCTCAATTTGACTGTATGTTTTTTGAATGAAACGAAGCCAAATCAACGGATATCAGGTTTATATTTATTTATTACTAGCTGACCCGGCGAACTCTGTTCCGCCTTAAAGGCAATAAATAAGCCATCGCAATTTTTCCTTATTTGCTCACCGTTTAGACCTACCCTGGACTACGACAAACATTTTAAAACCAAAATCAGCTCAATCGGCCCAGCCGTTCTCCAGTTTTAATCAGACTAACGAACAGCAATTCATTTTTATTTATATAGATAGATAGATATTTAAGAAACTCCGTAACTCGGTATGTTACAATTTTGAAAGTTTCTTAATTGACGGCGCACGTTTGTCTAAGCGAAGCCAACTCCGCACAAAGGCACTTGTTGAAATATCGCCAAAGCGCGAGCGTGTCGCCTGCCGCTGACATGCGAGTGGAGCGTCTACTCGCGCGCGGCAGTTGACGCAAATACGTGATGTTTAGTGGATGGCGTTGGGTACCTACTCCATAGTTGGTTCAAATAATTACTTTTCTATTTAGTGAATTAAATACGGGTTTATTATTAGCTTTGATTTGTCATCGAAGTTTTTCACTAGCACAGACTTGCGCTATGTGACTCTTCCACAAACTTAATATGTATACACATGACACATTATACAAAATATTCATATGTGGCAGGTATTTTATTCGAATCAATCATTGAAAATTTAATTTTAGTAATCCTAGTTTTCCTAGTATTATAATTATATTTCACAGCATGTACTGTATATGAACATACAAAGTATAAAAATATTTGACGTATAAGTCCTTTCGTAGTACCTACATTATTAATGCTACGAAGTTGCTACACCATATCGTAGCATAACCGCCCGTAATCTCGTAGCACACGCTACTTCCCATTCGTAGCAGTCTGTGCTACGATATTCAATATCGTAGTACAGAGTTTGCTACGAATTATAGTGAGAATCATTGACTGATCACGGAGTTAACTAGCTTCATTAATATAGACAGGATAATTATGTTATTATTATCGGTTATAATTAGGCAATGAATCAGTTATTTTTCATACCATCAGGCAAAAGACAATCGGACCAAAAACCCAGTATGAACCTAATAATAAAGTTAAAAAACAGAACATAATTAGGTATTATGGAAATATTCAGTGTAGTTTGTTAATAGCATAGTCCGATAATAGCTAATTGTGCTTTAATATCACATGGTGATTACGTACAATGCATTTGAGCGTATTGAGCGCAGATACAGTACAATAATTGCCAGTTCAATATCCTACCAAATACACGGATATAACACTACTGTAGCATACATGATGTGTGCTTATAGTAGCACTATCGAGCAATTTGGTACTGTTCAAACCCAAATAATATGTCGTAATAAGTATGACAGGAGGGACATTGGCCCAGCTTTAGGACATAATACTTATTTACATAATACATAGTAATACATTTGATTGCAAATCGGTTCGAGCCTGCGGAATACAAATTGCTTCTGATAGTAAGCAAATGATAACGAGCCGCGCGATAGTCGATGTATTACCGGGAGTGGTTTGTAACTAGCTATTATTGTACCTGCAGGGTGTATCCCACCTCATTACCATACCGCTATTGATAAAATGATAGCTCAAGTAAAATTATAAATGTATAACAAATAATTCCATTGTTATTTATAGTATCCTTAAGATACCCACTTGATTTTGCCTCTATTTATGATCTCTGGAAATACTTGAACATTTTGTTTACCCAGTTGTGAACTAATTATACCTCTCTATATACAGCACACAAATAAAGTATTTTGTAAATACTGCATTACTAATAGAACAATGAAAACTTTACATTTGAGTTGGGCTTTAGGTGTACTCTATAATGTGTTCTTATTAGAATTCACAAGATATATGACTTGAAATACAAGATATACAAAAATTAACGATTTATTAACATTTTTAATGCAGTTGCAATAATTTCTTTTATGTGATGTTGTAGTAATGTATAATGAGTATTCTTTTCTTTCTTAATGTAGTTCAAAATGTACTTGCTCGTTGTGTCAAGACGCAATCATGTTCTGCGGACACTTAATCTCCTGGGTAAAGCGGTCCCGGCTAACCAACGTAATATTATCCCGGATTAGTCATCAAAGCCGTGACCAGTGGCGCCGATACAGACTACAGCCAATCAAATTGAACTTTAATTAAAGCGCGTACCGATGTGTGCCTCGAGCGTGTAATGCGAATTTGGCGGTTGAAATGAAAACAATTGAGTTCGGCTAATTACATAAATAGATATTATTAAGACATTACTGTCTATTTTATGGATACAGTGTTTTTGTATTTGTAATACTTAATATTATATTCAGATGATTTTTATGTGATAAAAAGTAATTTTATCCTCCCAATAAATAAGATATAATAAAGGTCAATTAATCTTGGGTCTAAATAAGAGAAGTGTACTGGGAGGATAGATAGACTTCGCCAATTTATTTTTATGATGTCTTAGTTAAAGTAATATGAGCATAACAGCGCTCAATTTTTCCAAATGCAAGAGCATCTTTATGAGCATCTGCTAGAGCCGGTTAAGTTCGCTGGCGGGCGGCCAAACGATATGGCTGCCTATAATTAAGTCGGGCATCTCGAGACACGGAGGCGATATTAACCCGCGGTTCGGCAGACGAGGATGAAAATTAATCGATTAAGACAAATCTCATCCTACCTGCTGTACTCATAGACAAAATTAAATAATGAAACGAAATGGTCATGATAACTTGAATGAAATAAAGTAACTGAATTGATTTTCAGCCTTAAGTAATTTGATTGCATTTGCATACTTGTTACATAAATAAAATCTAGTATTTTTCCAGACTTGATGTTAATGGAGTTATAAAATTCAAATTTGAAGTAACTTTTAATTTCATTTCCATATCTAACGGAATGTCCGTCTCGTCTCCATTGTTGAAGCACCAGCCTCCCCATTCAATCAAAGATAAAAGAAAAAACATTTCACAATAAGAATACCTTGTACAATTTTAGGGGCTGGTATTAAAATTGTTAGCCGAAATAAAACTGCGAGACACTGCTCTCGTTGCAGAACAATACTGAAGTATTTTTTAAACACTATTGTTGGACTTGGAAGCAAAAACTTAGCATGAATTTTCAACATTCAGGCTCTGAACGACATAAATGCAAAACATAGTATCGTCATAGTTTCTATAAAATTATGCCTTCCAATAACATTATTTTGTTATTGAGTAACTTATTAATTTATAATATTCCAGTAATTAATTATGACGTACACTTGGATGTCATTTGGCTGAAACGAACTAAATTATCGAAGTAGTGTTGAAAAATGCTGTCCTATTAGGCAGTTTTTATACGCCTACATAAAAGGTATTATGTTTATAACTTCCAGAGTTTCTATAACGACGTGTTTACAAATCTGTGCACAAAATTTTACACGGATAAAGTTTTAATGATCATTTGATAGGTGCGTAATTTCCAAATACCAATACAAGTTCGTTAATATACCCACGAGTAATAATGGCTTTGTCTCCTTCCCACTTCATGGTGTTATGTAACAAGTAACAAGCCAGCCTAGGCACGGCATGTAGCCACCGTCGGACAGCTCAGTTTGTTGGAGCAACAGAATGATTGATGGCGTGTTCCAGCGAGGTAATGGCTTGATTTGAGATTAATGAAATCGCAAATTGGTGCGTAATGTACTTTGCTTAATGTTAATTGAAAAGTAGAGGGCTGTAACGCTGTTGTTTTTATATTAACTAGGTATGAAGGTTTGAAAAGTTAATTCTTCGTTAGTAAGTTAAAGACTTCCGTAGTACCTAGGTACCTACTTTCAATGGGAAGCTAGCTTTTAAAGTGTGTAAGTATTTGTTTACCACATTGATTTTGAAAAAAGATTGATAACTTGACAAATCAAATGCCTAATATGAGATTCAAACGAACATCTTATTAACATGCCTTCCGCAACACGTAGAAAGTTGTTGGTTTATCATTAAAATTTGTCTAGTCTCTCCAGATTTTTTCACGACTTAGGTGACAATGGCATTAGTGTTTAGGCATTTGAAAATTAATTAGTCTAACATAGTT